GTACATCTCAAATTGACACAATATGACTGCAGCCTCATTCTCTAACTTATCCAAAACATCCGGGTCCATAACTTTACTACATATGGCATTAAAAAAAAGCATAATCGAGTTAAGGAATATTTAACATTCTCTGGTAAGATACCTCGAATAGCCACATGTAGAATTTGTTGCATCAATACATGACAATCATGAGATTTTAACCCAAGCAATTTTAGATCTTTCATAGATACAAGTCTCTTCATATTGGAAGAGTAACCAAATGGAACCTTCACACCTCGTAAAAACTCACAAAAACTTCTTTTCTCTTTTTTAGACAGTGTGTGACATGCTGGAGGCAAGTATGTTCGGTTACCATGAGGTTGAGGAGCTAATTGTTCTCTTATACCCATTTCAACCATGTCCAAACGAGCATTGACACCATCTTTTGTTTTTCCTTGAATGTTAAGGAGCGTTCCGATGATACTGTCACACACATTTTTCTCTACATGCATGACATCTATACAATGCCTCACATCAAGAACCCTCCAATATGGAAGAACAAAAAGGATTGACATTTTCTTCCATATACTTGTGGCTTTCTTTTGCGTCTTTCCAAACTCAAACGAAATCGCACTTGCTCGTTGATATACTTCTTCCCCACTTAAAGGTGTTGGGGCTGCATCATTTTCTTGACACCCGTTAAATGATTTTTTTTATTTACGATACGAATGGTTTGAAGGAAGAAATCTTCGGTGTCCAAGGTATACTGTTTTCCTTCCATGATGTAGTTGATAGTGACATGTGTCTTCTTCACATATCGGGCAAGCTTTATGTCCCTTTGTGTTGTAGCCACTCAAATTACCATATGCTGGAAAGTCATTAATTGTACAAAATAACATTGCACGCAACTTGAATAAGTCACCTGTGTACCCATCAAACACATCAACACCTTCCTCCCACAACATCTTCAACTCTTCAACCAATGGGCTTAAAAAAACATCAATGTCATTTCCAGGTTGTCTGGGACCCGAGATCATCAAAGATAGCATCAAGTACTTACGTTTCATACACAACCACGGAGGTAAGTTGTAAATAATTAACACCACAGGTCATGAACTATGTTTACTGCTTAAATTTCCTTATGGATTCATTCCATCTGTATCAAGTCCAAACTTAATGTTTCTTGGATCATTACCAAAATTCTGGAAGATGGAATCAATTTTTTTCCATTGCAATCCATCTGATGCCTCAACTGACCATCTTTAATACGACTATCTACATGCCATCTAGTGAGCTTTGCATCATTTCCATTAGTGAATAATCGTTTCAACCTTGGAACAATGGGAAGATACCATAACACTTTTGCGGGGGTACCCTTCATTACATCATTGTCAGAATCACCATCCTTCTTCTTGTATCGTGATTCCCCGCATTGTGGATATTCGTGAAAGTTCTCAAATTCTTTCCTGTACAACACACAATCATTCGGACATGCATGAATTTTTTGGTACTCCATACCCATTGGACACAATATCTTCTTAGCATCATAATTGCGAGTTGGCAATATGTTACCTTCAGGGAGCATGTCACTCAACAACTGAAGCAATTCTGTGAAACTTTTATCAGTCCACCCATTCTTTGCCTTCACATTGAACAATTTTAGTACCGCCGACAATCGTGTGAACTTAGTACAATTTGTATACAAAGGTTTTTTTGCATCATTGGACAACTTCTCGTACACATGTGTATGTTGGAAGGCATCTTGTCCAAGCTCACGAATCATTTCCTCCAGCTGATCATCCATCTCTAGATCAACTTCTTCTTTGTCTTCTACACTTGGCATGTTTAATAATTCACCATGCCATGTCCACTTTATGTAACTCTTTAGGAAACCATCACAAAGAACATGTTCCCGAATAACTTCGATCGGTAATCTTCGCTCATTCAAGCGAGTTAACATACGGGCAATAGAATCTTCCATCATTATCTGGAACATTCATCTTAGCAAATTCAAGGAATTGTTCTACTCCACTCTCATATTCATTTGTTGTTCGTCTATAATTGATCCAACTCCGATCCATTGTTACCTTCTGTCACATAACACAACATATAAGTATAGTTTGAGGATGATAACATCCAACATGTTTTGCTGAAATTACGATGTCACGTGATTGGATATTTTAATCTTTCAATAGGAAGTTTTGTCCTACAATGGATCATTTCATGACTGACTCCAATCAAGGCTAACCGTATTGTCTCACATTAGGGTGAGCATAAGCGATGATAGTTTTCACTTAAAATGAAATAACTACATTATAATACAAATCTAATTTTCAAAATCAAAATCACGAAAGAATGCCTACAGAAACACATTCAAATGACTAAACTACTTACAATACGTCTCTAAATTAGCTAAAGGCACCCGTGAACTTCCATCTCTTGATAACATTATTACATACCAGATTCAAAAATGTAAACCTACAATGGCTAAAGCAAGCACAAAAACTTACCTCTTGAAGACCTACAGAGGTGGCAGGTGGCGTGACGTGCAGAGCTGGGTGGGGAGAAACGTACACAGGCGACGGGCACCAACGACAGTAGCAGCAGGCGGCACGACGTACAGAGTTGGCAGGTGGCGTGATGAGCAGAGCTGGGTGGGGAGAAACGTACAAATGCGATGACGTTCGTAGAAGAGAAAGAGAGAACGGGGAGCTCTGCTATGGGTGAAGTGAGAAATGGAGTGTCGCGGCAGGCGTAAAACAGAGGATACTATGTCGGTTGCCCTAACACCCGTCATCAAATACACTTTCTATTTCGGGTAAAATTTAACCGACATAGAAAGTTCACTTTCTATGTCGGGTAAATTTTAACCGACATAGAAAGTGAACTTTCCATGTCGGTTAAGTTTTACCCGACATAGAAAGTGAACTTTCCACTTACCATGTCGGTTACCTATTACCCGACATAAAAAGTTTATGATTTTATTACAAAATTGTCACCGCGCTACATACTATGACGGATGGACTACGACCGTGATAAAAACTCGTCATAGAATGCTATTTTTCCACTAGTGGAGTAGTTATCACCGAGAACGTGCTTAAAATTGGATTCATTTATTCCGACTAGTCACTATAAATTTATTTTAAATCTTCATAAAATATAATGTGTTGAGAAAATTAAAAAACATATATATATATATATATATATATATATATTATAAGATTGTATTATTTTAAATGATAATTGTTCTTACTCCTTATTGTAATCTTTTGTGCATATTATATTTAAATATCAATTTAAGTAGATGAAGACGCTAAATATCCAAAATTCCTTTTTTGCAAGTATCGTTGTCTTATTTCTAAGAATTACTTAAAACACAAACGTTATTGACAATTCAGGTACTTTTAAAGGGACATGATTATCAATATTAACGTTTGCATCTAATATGAGAACTCCCATCATGCTAGATGAACCAATAATGGTTACCTTTTGCATGTCTCCTACCATTTACCAAAATCTCTTTATGAGTTTATTTCCATCGACAATATAAATATTTGTAAAATTATAGTAAGAATAAGAGGAATAAAAAATAAATAAATTTTCTTCTCCTTTTGTATATCCTAAAAAAAATAGTGATGTAAATTACTTGTACATATATAATATTTTTATTTGACCAACTACTTTTATATATATAAAAAAAATGGCACAATAACTTTTTGTTTGAAAAAAACAAAGTTTATTCTATCTAATTAAAATATATTTAACTTCATAAAAAATGGTTTTTAATATAAAATTAGTATTTAAAATTAATAAGATATATTGTATATATAGATTTTTAATAAAAATAAATAATATATTTTATCTCACTTATAAACATCTTAATTAAAAATTTAAGTTTTTAATTTATATATTATATGTTTAATTTAATAACAAAATAAAATATTTTTTAAGAAATAATATTTACAATCAATAAAATATAGAAGCACTCTATCGAATAATATATCTGACATGACGTTAATATTAAAAATATTATAATAAAACTATATATATTTGGTGATAAATATTATAATAAGCTTTATTTTAATATAATTTTAACAATTTTACATTATCATCTAACTTCAATATTAAATAAGAAACAAATTGAATTTGATATAAATAAAAAATATAATAATTATTTTTATTAAATATAAATAAATAAATTTAAAATATAAAATAAATATAATATAATATATATTTTTTAATATATATATATATATATTTTTTTTTATTTTTTTTAATCATACTCCCATGTAAATATATTGGTAACACAATTCGGGGTCTTTGTAAATCCCTAACACGAGTTCGGTTCTAGACAAACTAATTTCACTGTCTATCTCTTTCGACTCCGCTCTTGGAATCTAGTCACTAACGTGGCTTAAATGAGGTGAGTTCCATCTTGTGCTTACCAACTGTGTTAGATTACGCTCAACACTATTCTATCTGTTGTTTATGTCCTGTGTGACCGCGATTCTCGATTCAACTTTAGGTTGATATCTGTAGCCAGGGTTTTAGGGTTCCATCTCAAATTTCACGAAATTATTGTGATTTCGTGCTGTTTATTCAAATCTAATTGATTTTACTGTTAATGATCGTTTTTCCCTCTCCTCTATATGCGTTTCTTGTACTCCTTATGGTTTCTAACTTGTTTTTGCAAGAACCGGTTATTGGTTGGTTGCTGCGAATGGTGAATTCTTTGTGAAGGGTTTTTATGTGATCTCTGTCTTACTCACTTTCTCTTCTTTTGGTTTAGTTTAGGTTGATTTGAGCTATGTTAGTGAATTAGGTAGAATTTGGAAAAGATAGGTTGTGAAATCTTGGAAGTGCAGCAGTGTAGTTCTGTTGTGGTACCAGAATTGGTGTTTGTTTCTTAGTGTTGAATTATTGCTTGATACATTGGATAACTATTGTTTGTCTGATGGTGTTTTGTTTCTTCAGATCAGTTGTTAGGACAGATTGAGTCTTGATAGGTGAATAAAGGGGAGATGCCAAAGAAGAAGAATTGTCTGGTGTTTATGGATGTGTCCTTAGATGGGGATCCTGTAGAAAGAATGGTTTTTGAGGTACATTTTTTTTTGTTGTCTTTATGAATTATCATTTTCACAATGATATATGCAGCAGACTGCAGTAATATTTGTGGACTTTTATCTAACCTGATTGTGCTTCCCTCAGCTTTTCTATGATGTTGCTCCAAAGACTGCTGAAAATTTTCGAGCCTTATGCACAGGTAATAAATTTGACTTCCAGGAAAGATTCATTCAATGCTGATATTTGTTTATTGGACCCTTTCAATGTACAATTCCATGTATTATTACTGTTACTTATTTGTCATCAACTGAACGAGTTATTGGATATGCAATTGCATTTTGCTTTCATGAATTATGCTTGAAAATTTGGAATGTTGCAAATTGTACTTCTATTCCTAATCACTGAATAACTGATCCCCTACCTTTTTTTTTTCTTAAATATGTCATTGCTTGTTCAGGAGAAAGGGGAGTTGGTACAAATTCTGGAAAGTTGCTGCACTACAAGGGTTCATTCTTCCATCGAATTGTAAAAGGCTCCATTGCCCGCGTATGTTGTTTCTTATTTTTTGTGCATGTAGATCATACTTTAGTAGTTCTCTATGTCCTCACATTTTTTGTGGTTAAAAATGGCTTAGTAGTGTTCCATCTTTTAGCCAGTTACCATTGTTTATTCTGTAGGATACAGGGCTGATGATCACAACTGCCTTTCTTGTGATATAGTTTTAAGGTTGTACTTACTAAGTTATATCTTACTCACCCTCATAACTCTAATAAGTCTCATGATGACCAAACACAATTGTATTGAATGTTATCAAGTGATTTTTTTGTTAATGGTTGGTTTTCCTTTTGCAGGGTGGAGATTTTGTCAATCGAAATGGTACGTATTATGTTGATACATGCCTCCTATTATGAATTATTTCACCAGTTTTTGAAGATTGCATTTAATACATTATATTTAGTTATTTTCTTTTTTATAATTTGATCATTCAATTGTCCGACTAACAAGTCTTGTTCCATTTTCATGTTTCCTGTGACAATGGTAATTTATTTTCTAAGTCAATTAGAAAACTGGCAAATAGGGGTGTGAAAATAAGTTTGACTTGATGGGCCGGCTCGAAAGGCCTGAGAAATAGGCTTGACTAGGCTAAAAATATGTGATTTAAATTGAATCAGAATTCTAGTCCTGTCCATTTAAGCCATTGCTACATAGGTTTAAGCTAGGCTAGTACGTAGGCTCATAGAACCGTCCATTTTATAAAATAATAATAATAATTTTTTAAATAAAAGTAATATTATTTTATTAATAAATTAGTTTGATAAGGAATTCAATTATTCTAAGAATAAATAAGTAAATCCTTAACAATCACTTATTCCAGGATATAATGGTTAAAATTAATTATTATTTTTTATCATTAAATTACTAAAAAGAGAATAATAATAATGAATTTAACTCTTCTTTTGAGATTGGATGGATCTATTATCCTATAATTTACATATTAAATCATTATATCTTAAATAAAAATTAATTTTATTAGTATAGATTAAATTTTAAAAATATTTTTTATTTAAATATTTGTTTTAATTAATTGTTTTGACATTTGTTATTTTTTTTTTTTAATTTTCAATCAGGTCAAAATTAACTCGGTAGCCTGTTGGCCTATTAGGTTAAACATTATAGTCTATTTTAAAATATAGGCTAGGTTGAGCCATATAATTTTGTTCTTGGCCCGTAAGGTCAAGTTGGGCCGGGTCACCCTTTTTGACAGCTTAGCAGAGCACCTTTGCATGTATTTATGGGTTGGTTTGTCACTTTGTGGGAAGTGTGAAAGGAATTTGGTTTTCCAATTTTGGTAATTTTTGGATATTACAATGATGTGGCTTGTGGTAGTTTTTAAACTATAGCCATACTATCATATGCTTTTTATCTGTTGTGTAACTTCTTCATTTGTTCTCTTCCTTTTCTTAGTGTGTATTTTGATAAAATTATTCTATGCTCTGGTTTCTATCTTCTTCTTTTACCAAATGATCTTGAACGATTGCAAAGAAAAAGTAGTAGTTAATAATCACATTTGGCCTTCTCTTGTACTGTATAGTTATGTGGTGGAACAGCAGGCATGTCTTTAAACCTATTAAACCTCATTGACAATCATCTCTTATTCTTTGTATGGCATCGCAAATACCCAACATGTTGTTTACTACATCATTCTACACTCCCACATCACTTTTCCCTGTGTGTTTTGCAGGGACTGGTGGAGAAAGCATATATGGTTCCAAGTTCCCAGGTGAGAATACTAAGTCTAGGTCTAGTTATGTTTGTGTCCCTAAGTTATTGTAGTTCTTACATTTTACTTGTGGTTTATTTCAGATGAATCACCTATGCTAAAGCACGATGCTCCAGGCCTTCTTTCCATGCCAGTTGCTGATCGTGACACACATGGTTCTCATTTTATAATCACATTTAAAGCTGATCCTCATCTTGATAGGTTTGCTTATGTGGCTCTTTTCTAATAACATTTAGCACTTAGGTGCCATTTGGATAATTTTACAGCTTATTTGAACTTATCTACTGGAATAACTGACTATCAAGCATTTTAGTACTGTTTGGATGAAATTGACTTATTAAAACTGCTCTTGAAAAACTCATATAAGCTGTCTTTGCATTATTTTTATAAGCTAAAACCTAATGAACACAGGTCTTTGTGAAAGTGGTAACCATTTTTAAATAATTCATTATTAAATTAACGGCAATGTATTGTCAAAGTTTATCTAGTGGGACAAGGCTTTTTTGCATTGTCGAAATTATATTTTTGCTAGTGTTCTCTAAAACATATATTCAAATACCATCTGACTTAATTTAAATGTACTTAAGGAAATTTAGCACTGGACCCTATGTTGCAGGATTTTCAAGTACATGTTGATTGTGTTGTGTTTCTGTGTGGGATCTTTGTCTGTGTCTAATTATTGAGTGGGAGAGGGTGAATTGCCTTATGTGTAGTCATTTTTTCTGAGTGGAATTAAGTTGTCAACTTGCTTATCTTGTTCAATTCTGAGTTAATTTTGCAGGAAACATGTAGTATTTGGCAAGCTTGTGCAAGGGCATGATATATTGAAGAGAATTGAAGATGTAGGTGATGAAGAAGGATTTCCAAGCGTAACTGTTAAAATAATTAATTGTGGTGAACATAATGAGGGTGAGAATTCTTTTGCCCTTTAGGGAGAATACTAATTTCTACCTGTGGTATGAAATATATTATTTGAAGAATTAAATTCTTAATCACCTGCAGAAAATTTCATGTTCAACTAATTGAAATGCTGAAGCATACCATTATGTATTGTTCATTTGAATGTGTTATATTTCATCTAATTATGTAATAATTATATTTAATGTGTTGATTTGAATCTTTACTTTTATAGATGGAAAGAAGATAAATAAGTCAAAAAAGGGAAGAGATGTATCTACTGAAACCAATAGTCCTGAACTGCGTAGGGGAAAGCACAAAAAATCCTCTGGTGACAAAAGGAAAAGGAGAAAGTACTACACATCAGAATCGGATAGTTCCTCAGATTCAGACACGAAATCATCAGAAAGTGATAGTGATTCAGATTCAGATATATCTTCATCATCTTACACAAGTTCTTCCAGTGATGACAGGCGGAGAAAGAGAAAGAGGTCTAGGAAAGATAAACATAGACGTGGAAAAAGAAGAGACAAACAGCGAGAGAAGAGACGAAGGATCCAAGACAAAAGATCAAAGTTTAAATCAAGAAGGTATTAGTATTGATTAAATTTTTGGTTATGATTTATGGATTCCACATTCCAATTATAAATGCTTGCTTGTGATAAACTTATGATAGCCACGTAGAGCTTGTGATCTTGTGGTTTCATGAATTGTGGTCTTTTTATTCTATAAGCATATATTGCATATTGTTTAGTTATGAGTATCATAGCTGTTGTATCACTACATGATGCTGCATTCATTGCTCTTGACATAAACATTTTTTATGTATTGAAGGGGTTATAGATGTCTTTTTTAGTGCAACACAACTTTGAAAAGTCAGCTGACACTGAGATTGTCTTTGGTGTTAGGGAATTGACCCGTCATACCAATTCAGACAGTGAAAATAAGAGTGGCAACAGCTCTGATAGTGAAAGTTGTGGTGCTCAAGTGAAAGAACAGAAGCATAAAGATCATTCTCAGAAACGTGGTAATGTTTTTAGTCATTCATTTTTTAGTTTCTTGTGTATATGAAATATAGTTTATGTATTAAATTATTTTCTTTACTCCACATGTATATTGAATTGTTGCCTGAAGATACAGACAATCGGGGTCAGGTCCCTTCGTGGAGGGGAGGGGTGACTGCCTTGATTTGCCTAACCTTGTATCATTACCTTGTTGATATGATATTTGTGAATACTATTTCTTTTTGCCTTCCATCATTGGTCAGTATGTAAGCTTTTGGAAAGAAATGTGAAGTTTTCGTTTGAACTGTTGTACTTTTTGTCTTGTCTGTCATGTAATTCACTGAAAGCTTCTTCAAACTTGTAGCTTGTGTAAAACGGCTAGGTTGTTGCGTAGATTCTATTTTTGTTAGTTTTCATTTTTTGCCTAGTGTAATATCATTGTCTTTATTCTTCTTCCTTATTTGGTTGCAGCTGAAGGTCAGTCTTCCTTGGCTGTGGAGAAAGAATTACCTCCCAAACTCTTTACAAAGGGGGAGAAACTGGATATGCTAGAGGAGGAAGAATTCCCAAAGGAAAATGGAGAGCGTCATAGCAATGGCATTGAAGCCAACTATAGATCTGACAGAAGTGAAGGGAGGCAGCCTGATGTGATGGATGTTCAACCAGGCAAATCTAGGTCCATTTTCCACTCTTGTCACACCTCAGTTGTTTCTTATGCTTACCATTTCTTCCAGATTTGGTATTTTATTAAAAGTTGATGAGCAGGAGTCAAAGCATGAGTATTAGTCCAAAGCGTGAGAGCAGAAGCCCAAGCATTAGTCGAAAAAGGAGGTTGAGTAGAAGTCCTAGTGGCAGTAGAAGCCCTCGAGCTCCATTACGGAGGAGTTTGAGCAGGAGTCCTGTTAGAAGCATAAACAGGAGTCCAAACAGAAGAATCAGCAGCAGAAGCCCAGCAAGAGGTAGGAAGGGAAAAAGTGTCAGTAGAAGCCCTGTGAGATCTGGTGGATATAGAAGTGTCAGTGCAAGCCCTGTAAGATCCATTTCTCGGATCCACCAGAGGAATTCACCCAGAGCACCATCACGAAGATCAATCAGCAGGAGCCCTGTGAGGAACCACAATCATAGGAGTCTCAGTAGAAGCCCTGTGAGATCTCGTGGTCGTAGAAGTGTCAGTACAAGCCCTGTAAGATCCCTTTCTCGCAGCCACCGGAGTTCACCCAGAGCACGATTACAAAGATCAATCAGCAGAAGCCCTATGAGAACACACAATCATAGAAGTGTCAATAGAAGCCCTGTGAGATCCAGTGGTAGAAGAAGTGTCAGTGCAAGCCCTCTAAGATCCATTTCTCGGGGCCGTCGGAGGACTTCACCCAGAGCACCATCACGAAGATCAATCAGTAGGAGCCCAGTGAAAACTGATTATCACAGAAATATAAGTAGAAGCCCTGTGAGATCTCATGGTCATAGAAGTGTGAGTGCAAGCCCTGTAAGATTACCTTCTCGGGGCGTCCGGAGGAGTTCACCCAGAGCACTATCACGAAGATCAATCAGCAGAAGTCCTGCAAGAGTGTCAAGAAAGAGTATAAGTAGGAGTCCAGTTAGGTCATCAGCCAGAAGCTTGAGCAGAAGCTCTGGCAGGGTCCCTTTGAGAAGCATTAGCCGAAGTCCAGTTAGGATGCCAAGCAGAGGCAATCGCCGTAGTTATTCAAGGAGTCCTCGGAGGAGCTTGTCTAGAAGTGTGTCACCTGGTGTTTCCCCAAAACGTATCCGAAGGGGAAGAGGTTTCAGTGAACAGTACTCGTATGCTAGAAGGTATAGGACTCCTTCCCGATCTCCTGTGAGATCGTACCGCTATAATGGAAGAAGTTACCGGGACAGGTAAATTGATGAAGTTTATAATTTCTAGTTAGTCGTCGTGCTAAGGTGGTATGCTCAGTTAAGTAAACTTTTTTACGCTTTCTGTTCTCAGATATTCAGGTTATAGGAGGTACTCCCCTAGGCGTAATAGGAGCCCACTGCCACGCAGAAGAACTCCACCGAGGTTTTCCTTTTGTTTATTTATTTGTTCCAACTTAACATATGCGATCTTTGAATTTCTTAGTAAATCTTGTTGAGGCACGATTTCTTTGGTTAGACATTTTATTTTCTGAGGCCAAGTGTTATTTCTTTCCTTTGTTTATTAATAATGATTGCACCGTGCATATACGTAGACTTCATATGATTACGTGAAAACCTGTATGTAGGTTCCGGAGTAGGAGGAGCAGGACACCATCTGTATCACGCAGTCCACGTTATCGAGTTCGTCGCTATAGTCGAAGCCGCAGCCCTTTGGGCAGTCGTTCACCTGTTGGTACATATCGACGTCGTGTTCAGAGGAGCAGGTCTCTGTCCCGGAGCCGGAGTCCCTCACGATCCAGGGCGTCAGTAGAATCAGAATCTCCACGAAATGCGAGCAGGAACAGCAGGTCAAGGTCCCCAAGGTCCCGGTCTGAAAGCCCAGATGGGAAGAAAGGCCTTGTATCTTACGGAAATGGTTCTCCCGATTCAAACTAAAGGTGAAATACTAGCGTGTCTAGTGAAATCGTCACCTTCAACATGCTCTGTTTGCTTGCTGGAATTCGCCAACATCTCTTATTTTTCCTTCATAAATCATGCTTTAGAATTTTTTTTTTTCTGTTAAATTGAAATGGCTTGCAAACAAGTAAATATAGTATTAGATTTATCTAGAGACTAGAATGCAGTTTTAGTTGTTTTGTTTCGATGCAGTAACCGAGATGAGCGAGATGAGTCAGACTTGTCACCTGAGGTTATTTCGTAGTTAGTAATTGCGTGAGTTGAATTGTGAAGTTTTGGCCTCCAAAATTACTCTTTGGTTACTATTATTTTTTTTTTGTTATTTATTATCTTTGTTTGATGGAACATATCATTATGTTCTGATTACTGAAATGAAACTAGCATGTAATAAACAACTTACCTAGAGCCGATTTCTCTCAAGAAAAATTTACTCTAAATAACACATTTTTATATTTTTTTAATTTTTAGTTTAATTTTTTATAGTTTATAAAATAATTTAATTATTATAATTAAATATTATTTGAATGTGATTATAACTATATGAAAAATATTATTATTAAAACATAATATTATTTTTTAAATTAATTAAATTTAAATTTAATAATATTAAACACTAGTTATATTTGTACATGAATAAAAATATACATTGTATGTGTGTGTGTTAGAGCATAGTGATGTGTGTGAATTGAACAATAATACTATGTATTCGAACGAGACCACGGGAACAATTCTATTTACCTCCTGAACCCTATGTATGAGTCAATGTTAGTATTGGTCAATCTAATTACGATTTTGTTAGTGGGTTTGAGGTAATTCATCACCTAGTTTAATTAAAAAGTGTTTGATTTCTATTATTTTTTTATGTTTGATATAATTTAATCCAATTTTCATTTGGATGGGTGAAATCAAGATAGACTATAATTTGTTTTATTGAAATTTATAATTTTCAAATGTTTTTGTGTAATTTTTTTCGATAATAGATTATATAATTGTTATAAGTAATATTAATGAAGAAGGTATATATGCCTTGTGAAACGAAAAACATCTCTTATAATAAAACTAAATATAATTTGTTTAATTTAATTGAAGTAATAACATGATTCGGCAAACATAATCTGTCTAATTCAATTGAAGCAAATAACATAATTAATCAAATATAATGTGTATAAACTAATTTAAGATTTCAAGACAATAAGTCATAACATAATTTCTTTAAACTAACCAATCAGAATTTAAAAAGAAAAAATAATAATGAATATAATTTAATGTTTAAATTAATAAAAGTTATATATGAAATCTACTCAAAGTCTCAAACACTACAGAATACAAAATATTCTAATTAATCATTATTAACATCAAGTGGATTAATAAAATGTGCAAATTGAAACTTATAAATTATTTTTTCTTTAAGAAAGAATGATTCCAATTCCTGATAATTTTAGTCTTTACACTACTCTTATTAATAGTATTAGTTTTAAGAGATAAAATATTTAATGCTAGACTATAACATTTTAAATATTTAACATAAAATATTAATTTTTATTCACATTCTAAATAATTAAAAAACGGACTAATAATTTTCATGTATGATTCTTTTATATTTCCCTTTAATATAATTTGAGACGCCAATTAAAACTTTATTTGTTACGAGACTAAAAAGAAACTGTGAAAGCAATCATGTATCCAACTTCTCGTTTCAAAAAATGGTCAATATATCTAGTCATGCAAGAAAAACACATTATACTTATTTTCAAAGTAAAAAATCTACCTAATTCATTTGCTCCTAATCATGATTTTTCTTCAAATTGATTATTCAAATTCTCATCTTTATCACCATTGTTTATCTTATTTCTTACATTTATCATCCAAATTTTTCACCATCTCTTTACTTTTATCAACATTATACATTTTCTTGAAACAAAATTGAATGTAGACAAATTTAAAATATGATCAAGAAATATAATTATAAACAAAAGACAATTAGTCTTATTATATTTTTCCAATACTTAATAAAGCTTTATTGCATATTAGGTATTATTTTTTTTATCCTTTATTATCTTTGTATCTCTACTTATTCAAGGATTTTTGAATAATAACTAATAATTAATATCATGCAAAAAAAATCTAAAAAAGAAAAGAAAGTGTTACCTCATAGACAATGTTCAAAAAAACTCACAAGTTAAAAACACGTTTAATCATCTAGTTTAGGACATTCTCCTTTGTTATTAAGGATCAAACATTCATGCAGCCTCATCATATTTAGAATTGATAAAAAACTTATTATACTTTTCAACAACCTCTAACATAAAATAAGTTGATTTCAACTAGTTGGCACATTAAGACATAACATACCTTGAAATTTAGTCTAACTTCTTCCACATATCTCTTAAAAATACCCTACCTATATGGGGGAAGATCTCACGTTAATTGGAAAAGACGAGTGGTAGAGCTAAATTTTAAAAGGGGGTTCATGATATGAATCTCAATAGTACAAGAGATGATTTAAGATCTTTAGGGTTAGAACTTTGTAAAAAATTTAGAAATTTAGTGATAAAGTGGAAGGAAATAATCATTATTCTCAAGGAAGACAACTCACAAAAGATGTGAAAGTCCTTTGATACAACCCAGAGGTTCTTGAATCACTCAAGAATTTAGGAGAATCACTCTCACTGAGATAAAAGAAATAAACTATTATATTTCTGAATAAAATTCCACTTATTATTTTTGATAAAAACGGTTCAGCCTATATAGAAGTTTTGTCATCAGAATTACAAATATTCAATAAAGGGAAATAAATGCTAATAATAATTCATTAACCTAAGAATTGAAAACTACTTAATGACTGATTGTAACTAAAATTGTGGCAACCAAAAGTCAATCAGCTATATACCCTTTTGGTCTCCCAAAGACTGATAACCAAATTTCCTATGCTCTAACCCTTATCATCATAGGTCATGTTCATGTCAGGTCTACCTCGAAAGTAAATACTCATCCATAAAACTTTGATATGGTTCAAACTTCATATAGGTTCTATGAATTTCATCTTGTTAATAGAATAATTCCAAATTTGTATAAACTTTCTATGATCATGCATCAAATTATCAATATCTAACATTTTCATATTCAATCCTCATAATTTTGGAACAAGGTGGTTAGATAGGTTGATCAATAATATTTTTCAACATTGCTCATCCATCCTGTTGAATATAGAAGAAATAGAGTTTGTGATTAATCTCCCTTGTGTATAAATCACACATAGGGTAGTCTATTTATAGTAGAGAGATACAACTAAAAGAGTAACTGAAAGTAACAGAATAAACAGAAGATATTGTTTGATATTATGGTTAATATCTAACAATATCTTAACAATATTAAATAATATCTAAACAATATCTAACACTCCCCCTCAAGCTGGAGCATACAAATCGTATGTGCCAAGCTTGTTACAAATATAATCAATTCTAGGACCCCGTAAAGATTTAATAAAAATATCTGCTAACTGATCACTTGAGTTAACAAACTCAGTCTTGATGTCTCCAGACATAATCTTTTCTCGAATGAAATGACAGTCAATCTCAATGTGTTTGGTCCTTTCATGAAAGACAGGATTAGAACTAATATGAAGAGTAGCCTGATTGTCACACACAAGTGACATTTGAGTGACATCTCCAAATTGTAACTCTCTAAGCAATTGCTTGAGCCAAACAAGTTCACAAGCAGCTGATGCCATAGCTCTATATTCTGCTTCTGCACTAGATCTTGCCACAACACTTTGTTTCTTACTTTTCCATGAGACCAAGTTACCACCAATGGAGACACAATATCCAGATGTAAATCTTCTATCCGAAGGAGATCCTGCCCAATCAACATCTGAGTAACAAACAACTCTTGTATGGTTATTAGAATCATATAACAATCCTTTTCCAGGAGATCCTTTAATATACTTTAAGATACGAATGACTGCATTCCAATGATCTTCACATGGGGAATTAAGAAATTGACTTACCACACTGACTGCAAAGGAAATGTCAGGACGAGTAATTGTAAGATAATTCAATTTTCCAACCAATCTTCTATACTGCTCAGGATCAGGTATAAGCTCCCCCTGATTTGGTAAAAGTTTAGTATTGGGATCCATGGGCGTATCAACAGACTTTGAATTCATCAACCCAATTTCCTCTAAAATATCCATGGCATACTTCCTCTGAGATATAACAATACCATCATTGGATTGTGCCACCTCAATACCCAAGAAATATCTAAGTTTGCAAAGATCTTTGGTCTGAAAATGGTGACAGAGATGTTGTTTCAACTGAGAGATGCCATGGTTGTCACTACCTGTAAGAACGATGTCATCAACATATACTATCAAGTAAACACATCCAACACTTGAGTGTCGATAAAAGACAGAGTGATCTGCTTCACACTGAGTCATACCAAATTGTTGAATAACCTTGCTAAACTTTCCAAATCAGGCCCTAGGAGACTGTTTTAAGCCATATAGGGATTTGCGAAGACGACATACCATCCCAGAAGACTCCCCCTGAGCAACAAACCCAGGAGGTTGCTCCATATAGATTTCTTCTTGCAAATCACCATTGAGGAAAGCATTTTTAACATCTAGTTGATAAAGAGGCCATTGTTGAAGAGCGGCCATGGCGATAAATAAACGAACAGAAGTCATCTTTGCCACAGGGGAAAATGTATCTCCATAATCCAACCCAAAAATTTGAGTATAACCTTTGGCCACAAGACGAGCTTTGAGGCGATCAATAGTACCATCAGGTCAAACTTTGATAGCAAACACCCACCTGCTGGTGGGCCCATAACCCACAGGTCCCAGGATCGTAACCTGGCTCTGATACCATGTTGAATATAGAAGAAATAGAGTTTGGGATTAATCTCCCTTGTGTATAAATCACACATAGGGTAGTCTATTTATAGTAGAGAGATACAACTAAAAGAGTAACTGAAAGTAACAGAATAAACAGAAGATATTGTTTGATATTATGGTTAATATCTAACAATATCTTAACAATATTAAATAATATATAAACAATATCTAACACATCCTTGAAAGATGAGTATGTAATTTTCTTCTTAGATATCTTTAAAGCTAAACTTGATTTTTTTTTTTCACATTTTAACATCAAAATAGAACATCATAAAACATTAAAATAAATAACTAATTTATAACAAATAAAAAACTTATATCAATATATCAAATTTTAACATTAGACTATACATACTAATTTGCAATAATAATGAACAAAAACAATAAAGAAAATAATATTGTTTACTGATTCTTTATTTTAAGAAAATTATTATACGAGATCTCCTTTTATTTTTTAACTTTTACCTTTCTCTAATTTAAAAATATGCAAAATGTGAACAAAATATAACAAGTTAAATAACATAAAATTACAAATTTTATGTTATAAAATGAAACTATAAGAGGTAGAAAAATAAAGAGAAAATCTCAAAAATTTATGTTATAAGATAAAATCATGAAAGAGATAAATATGAAAGTGAATGAGTGGTAAAGAAAAAAAAGAAGAAGTAGAAATATGAAAGAAAAGAAGTAACTGTGTGATATAAAGAGATTAAGTGAAAAGTTGGGAGAAGAAAAATAAAAGTACGAATATAGAAGAAAAAAGAGAAAAAAAAATGTAAGTACAAATGTGTGGAAAAATAAAAATTTATATTAATTATAAGTAAAAAGGTTAAAAGGAAAAAGATAAAAAGTTTAATTTTATTTATATTTAAAAAATAATTTTTATTTAATTTTTAAAATTAATTACTATATATAAAAAAATATTATTTTTAGGCTATGAGCACCCTCACTAAATCCATCCTAGAAAACACTACATGTATTTGAACTCTCCACTTAACTAAGTTTAATCATTCCTAACACTTACCTAGTCCAACATGAAATGCCTGTTAGCACTTGCATTATCAAGTATTACTACAAAACCATTTTTTTTTATCCCCTATTCTTTCAAGCAATTATCTAGTATTTGGGGAAGAGCTCACAAACTTAAAAAAACTCATATTTTATTTATGAATTAGGGAACACTGCATATGTATTAACTCTCCTATTAATTAAGTTCAATCATTTCTAACAGTTACACCTCTATTAACACTTGCATTATCAAGTGTTACTACATAACCAAAATGAATGTAATTATACCATGAAACATGAATAATGTTCATGTTCACAATTCAATAATAATAGTCTATTACATACAAATTAAAATAAAAAACATAAATAAACTATTATTTAGGATCACAATTTTTTTTATAATCAAATTCAATTTCTTTTAAATCTCATGAAGTTATCAACAATTCATCACTAGCAACTTACATATTTTGTATGGTTTCACCCCATAATAATAAAGATATTTTAATATTGTTAGTCATGAATCCAAAGTAGAAAGCATAAAAGAAGAAAATGCCACTGGAGACTATGCACGTAGAGACACCACAAACATAAGTGCGAAGATTAGGGTTCGTAAATGATTTTTAAAAACCAGTATTTTTATATGAGGGTTATTTTACATAACATAATTTACAGCATCAATACTATTAATAATATATTTAAAAAGAAAAATTACTTAAATAAAATGGAAGTTTATTTATCCAATAAACATGTTTATTAATACTAATGAAAAATAAATTTATTTTTCATAATACAGTTATTTTTCTCTCTTCCTATATTTTTTGTTATTTTTTTTGTCTTTTTTAGTGTTTGTTTTATTTTTACTCTTGTTCTCTTTTATTTTTCTATCACCTCATATTATTTTTCTAATTAAAAGTACTATGTTAAAAATTGATAAAATAAGTCTTTTATTATTCTGAAACAAATAAAAATATTTAAATTATTTTAAAATATTATAATTTAATATATTATATTTAAAAATATTATATGATAAATTTGAGGTATAACAAATATTATTTTTATATTATAATTATTAAAAAAATTAAATATTTATTTTAAATTATTTTTTTTAATAAATATTTTTTAAATTACCTAATTTGATTAATCATTATTACTTAACTTAATTATAACTAGATTAAATTATTGAATAAAAAATTACATTTAACTCATTAATATTTAATATTTTTTAATTAGATAATTAATTAAGTTATTATGATAAATTAATTTTGAATTAATAATTTTCTATCATCATAATTTTAAATAATTAGTTAATATCTTTTTATTTTCATGATTTATAATTTACTTTAACATATTTTTATTAAATTTTAATATATTAATTTTAATATTAGAAGAATAAGTGAGAGAGGGGTGAGAAAAACAAAATGAACATGAAGTAAAAAAAGAGAGAAAAATAAGAGATGAATGAGGAGAGGGAAAAAATATAAAAATTTATGAGGAAAGAAAAGAAAATGAACAATAAAGAATTTAATTTAATAAATAAATTGATAGATATTCTATCTAAATATTTTTTTAAATATATTATTGATAAGATTGATTTAATAATAAGAGTTGAAATTATAAAAATATAAATTAAAATATATTAATGTAACTCATTTATAAAATAATAATAATAAATATTTTTTTATACTATTTCAAGAATTGTAAATTAAAATTAATTTTTAAAATCATTAGCAATTGAAGTGTAAATAATTTTAAAGGATTTAAAAAAAAATGCAATGTAAAGAAAAATGCTAAACTATTAGCACTGTTTTGAACAAATTTTTTTTATTAGTTAAAGATAATTATATATTTTTATCTTATAATTTTTAATTAATAATAAGATGTGTGTTAGAAATATATTACATAAATAATTTTTATCACATACCAAACTAATGATTGAGTAAAAATTTGTAGGTACCATAACTTCTTTGGTCACCTTGGATTATTCAATATCTTATATTATATTTTAATATAATATAATAATAATAATTTAAATATGGTTATTTACATTAAATAAATATTTTGTTTATTTATTATTATTATTATTATTATTATTATTATTATTATTATTATTATTATTATTGTAATAATAAGGAAGTGTAGATTGGCAGTAGGATAAATAGTGGTATCAACTAATAAGTACTGAAAATTTTGTTCACCTTTGGGCATCTTTCATTTCTCTGTTCTTAATTAGAGGCTTAGGTGGGGTGAGTTTCCACCACCTGGTTCCTCATTTCATTTCTTCACCGACTCTATTAAGGTTGGGGACTCTGGCTAGGGTTTAGGGTTCCATTTCAAGTTCCACGCAACTACTACCTTTTCGAAACTTTTATTCGAATCTCTATAGTTCATTTTACAGTAAATGCTTGTTTTGCCCTCTCTTCGATCTACGTTTTTTCAACTTATTGTGGTTTAGCTGTTTGTGCATGAATCTGTTATTGTTTTGGTGTCAAGAAGTGCGAAATTCTCTGCTAAGAGTTTTATGTGATTTATATGTTGCTTATTCTCTCGTTTCAGTTTAGTTTGGGGTTGAGTTGAGTTATGTTAGTGAATCAGGTAGAATTTGAAAAAAATATGTTGAGAGCTTGTAAGTGCAGCAGGTAGTTCTGTTGTTTTAACTGGATTGATTTTTTGTTTGCTTAGTCACTAATTAATGCCTGGTATAAGTGGATAATTGATGTTTATGATGTTTTGTTTCTTCAGATCAGTTGCTAAGACAGATTAAGTGTGGGTAAGTAAGTGCCCAGCTGATGGCAAAGAAGAAGAATTGTCTGGTGTTTATGGATGTGTCCATTGATGGGGATCCTGTTGAAAGGATGGTTTTTGAGGTGCTTTTATAGTCTTCATGAATTGTCATTTTTTATGATGTATGGAGTAATGTTTGCAGTATTTGATCTAATTTTTGGTTGTGCTTCCCTCAGCTCTTCTCCGATGTTGCTCCAAAAACTGCTGAAAATTTTCGTGCATTATGCACAGGTAATAAATTTGACTTGCATGAATAATTCATTAATTCACCTTTTTCAATTTTTGCTTGTTAGATCCTTTCATTGGAAAATTTCATCTATTACTTATTTATCTCTTATCAACTGAACAAGATCCTTTCATTGGAAAATTCCATCTATTACTTATTTATCTCTTATCAACTGAACAAGATCTTTGATATGAAATTGCAGTTTGCTTCCATGAATTGTGCATGGAAAATTGGGACTTTATAAATTATCTTTCTAATAACTGACTAACTGAATACCCTACCCCACTGATTTTTTTGAAATATGTCATTGTATTTTCAGGAGAAAGGGGCGTGGGTCCAAATACTGGAAAAGCACTGCACTACAAGGGGTCATTCTTCCATCGAATTGTGAAAGGATCTGTTGCCTGGGTATGTTGTTTTATTTTTCTGGCCTGTAGATTGTACTTTAGCAGTCTTCTATGTCTTCACATTTTGTGGTTAAAATGGCTTAGTAGTGGTCCCTCTTTTAGCCAGTTACTGTTGTTTATTCTGTAGGGTACAGGGCTGATGGTCACGACTGCCTTTCTTGTGATATAGTTTTAAGGTTGTGTTTACTAAGTTATATGTTATAACTGTCGTAATTCTGATAGGCCTCATGATGACAAAACACAATTTGTATGAATTGTTATTAGTGATTGTGTGTTAATGGTTGGTTTTCTTTTTTCAGGGTGGTGATTTTGTAAATCGAAATGGTACGTATGGTGCTGGTACATGCCTCTTATTAAGAATAATTTCACCATTTCACCAGTTTTTAAAGATTGCATTTAATACATCATACGTAGTCACTATTTTTTTTTTGTTTTTGTTTTTTTATCATTTGATCATTCAGTTGTCGGAGTTGCAAGCCTTGTTCCATTTTCATATTTCCTGTGACAATGGTAATTCCTTTTCTAAGTCAATTAGGAAACTGACAAAGCTCCTTGGCATTTATATAGATTGGCTTGTCCTTGAGTGGGGCTTATGGAAGGAATTTTATTTTTTTATTTTGGTTAATTATTGTATATTACCATGATGTGGCATGTGATAATTTTAAAATTATAACCATACTATCATATGCTTTTATCTGTTGTGTAAATTCTTCATCTTTTCTCTTCTTTTTTAAAGTGTCTATTTGTTAAATCATGCTATGCTGTGGTTTTTATTTTCTTCTTTTATCAAATGATCTTGAACCATTGCAAAGCAAAATAACTCTTGAATAATCATATGAATAGTTATTAAAATTGCATGTCAACTTGTAAAAGCCTACAAGTTTACATTCCCCAACCTGTTTAACTCTCAAACAGACTTGTTTTTGAGTAGGCTTTGGGTAAACTCAAGTGAAATTGTGTAGACTGAACCAAACTCATGATTTCATGAATGAGTTGGTGAGTTCCATTGGGTGAAATTTTTTTGTCCACTGTGCCGTCTGTTGGGGCATTTTGATTATTATTAGTTTTTTCAAAATAGTTAGGACTCCTCTTATGTTCTCGCAGTCAAACATGTTTTATAGTATCCCAATTTTCACCCTTGATTTCTGTTCTCCTTAGCGTTCTCCGTGACATGAATCTTCGCTGAAGACAACTTTGTTTAGCAATACCCATTGAAGGCAATGAAACAGCAATGACCATCGACACCCATTCTTCTTCCAAGTTCCATTCAAGTTCAATTATCTATTTTTTTTTTTTTTCAATTTATTATTTGCTCTCTGCAACTGGACCCAGGCTTGTTTCTTTTTGTGATTTTATTTTCATGACATTATATTAGTGATATTTAAAATATTTCTATATGATACTAATTATATTAGTGATATACTTAAATTTTTTTTATGTTATATGAAGTTATATTGTGGAATTTTATATTAATATGATTTTATCTTTATACATGGTTTGGGTGTAATTTAACTTTATCTTGCTTTAGTGTACTACAAAATATGCTGCTTTCTGTTTGTTCCTGCCATGAGTCTCCTCCAACCCATTGGGTCACACTTGCGCTACTGAGATTGCAGTTGATATGATGAGTTTTTCACATGGTTGGATTGAATATGGGTTCTTCGCACATTGATCATTCCCACAATGTGTGGTGCAGGGTGTCTAACAAGGACATCCCATCAAGTTACTGTGCTGCTTTATTATTGTGGTTTGCTACTTTCTTTATCATGGGGTTGAAATATTTAATTATCATAAGTATTCCAATATTATTTTTATATCAAATAAACTCTTGTGAGTTTCCGTGTTTTTTTACCAATCAAGTTTACATAGCCTTCGTGAGTTTATTTAAACACTCAAGTTTAATAACCTTCTTCACATTTAGCCTTCTCTTTTACTTGTTGTTAGTAATGTGGCTGAATGATTTTCATTAAACCTGTTAAATCTCATTGACAGTCATCTCTTACTCTTTGTATGGCATCCCAAATGCAGCACATGCTGTATACTAATTATATTATTCTATGTGATGTTACTCTATCCTCCCACATCACAATTTCCTGTGTTTTGCAGGTACTGGTGGAGAAAGCATATATGGTTCCAAGTTCCCAGGTGAGAATGCTAAGTTGTGGCCTTGACCTCATAATGCACTGCATGGATTTGGAACAGTTATGTTTATGTATATAAGTTCATGTAGTTCTTACAAATTTTACTTGTGATTTCTTTTAGATGAATCACCTAGGCTAAAGCATGATACTCCAGGCCTTCTATCCATGCCAGTTGCTGTTCGTGACACTCATGGTTCTCATTTTATCATTACTTTTAAAGCTGATCCCCATCTTGATAGGTTTGCTTTTCTGGCTCTTTTCTAATGGCATTTACTGTATGTTCGGTTGAGAAAAGAAAAAGGAAAGATTTTGTATTGTTTGGTTGTAACTTGTAAGGAAAGAAAGTTAGAGTGGAAAGTGTACTTGTTTATATGAAGAGAAAATGATAAGGGAAGGAAGGGAAATTGTCATTTAAAAATAATAATAAATAATTAAGTAATTGTACAATGACAAAGTTATTCATATATTTGTTTTAGAGAAAGATGAAAGATGGGAGATTTTGAAAAATACCACTTTTCTGTACATTTTCTACTATTTTCTCCAAATATTTAGGTGAAAAGTAAAAAATGTGGGACCCATTTGAATAATTTATTTACAGCTTACTTGAACTTATCTACTGCTATAAAGGACTGTCAAGTGTTTTAGTACTGTTTGGATAAAATGAACTTTTAAAAGCTGTTTTTGGATTATTTTAATAAGCTAAAAGCTATCTAACCAAGGTCTTTGTGAAAGTTAAAATCAGTTTAAATGGTAGCTACTTTTAAATATTTCATTAATTTGATTAATTTAGCTGTATTGTATTGTCAAAATTCTAGTTTTGCTTAAGTGTTTCTCCAAATATACATTCAAAGGCCATTTGGCTTAATTTAGAATGCGCTTGAAGCAATGGAACAGTGGACCTTATGTAGCATGATTTTCTCAATTTAAATACATGTTTATAGTACTGATTTTCCTTATGCATTTAGTTATTATTTCTGAGTGGAACTAAATGATCGACTTGCTTATCTTGGTTCATTCTGATTTAATTTTTCAGGAAACATGTAGTCTTTGGCAAGCTTGTGCAAGGGCATAATATATTAAAGAAAATTGAAGATGTGGGTGATGAAGAAGGACTTCCAAGCGTAACTGTTAAAATAATTAATTGTGGCGAACATAATGAGGGTGAGATTTCCTCTGCCCTTAATGGAGAATCTTAAGTTCTACCCTCCATATGAAATATATTATATGAATAATTAAATTATTAATCATTTGTTAAAAATTTCATGTTCAATTATTGAAATGCTGAAGCAAAGCATTGTGTATTGTTGTTTGACGTAAATGTGCCCTATACCAGCTGGTTATGTCATTTTCAATTTTCTTTTTATTTGTTACTTTTTACCTTCGTAGATGGAAAGAAGATAAAGAAATCAAAAAAGGGAAGAGATGGGTTTTCTGAAACCAATAGTCATGAACTGCATAGGGGAAAGTACAAAAAATCTTCAGGAGACAAAAGGAAAAGGAGAACGTACTATTCATCAGAATCTGATAGTTCCTCAGATTCAGACAAGCAATCTTCAGAAAGTGACTATGATTCTGACTCAGATATATCTTCATCATCTTACACAAGTTCCTCCAGCGAAGACAGGCGGAGAAAGAGAAAGAGATCTAGAAAAGATAAACATAGACGTGAAAAAAGAAGAGAGAAACATCGAGAGAAGAGACAAAGGAAACAAGACAGAAGGTCAAAGCGTAAATCAAGAAGGTACTGATTCTAATTCTTGATTTATATGTTCGACCTTCCAATTATAGATGATTGCGTGTGAAGAACATATAATAGGCATGTAGTCTAGATATTGTGGTTTCACGAGTTGTCGTTTATTTATTTTATTCCATAAGCATATGAATATCACAGATATCTTACTACATGAAGCTGTATTCTTGCTATTGACATGAACATTTTATGGGCATTGAAGGGTTTGTAATTTATTTTTTAATGAAAGAAGTCCTACTACACGGACTCAAAAAGTTGTCTGCCACTGAGATTGTCTTTGGTTTTAGGGAATTGACCAGTCATACTGATTCAGATGAAAGTAAGAGTGGCAACAGCTCTGGTGGTGAAAGTTGTGGTGCTCGAGCAAAAGATCGGAGGCATAAAGATAATTCTAAGAGACCTGGTAACTTTTTTAGTTATTCATGTTTTAGTTTATTGTGTACACAAAATATACTTTATGTGTTAAATAATTTTCTTTTACCTTGTCTCTGAAAAACCAAAATCCTGAAATATTAATTACACTTTTGTAAAATGGTGAATTTTTGTAATGTCCTAGTTTTGGGTTTAATTGTATATGAGTCCTCGCCTGAAGGTAAAGGCTGTTAAAAAAGGGTTAGAATGACTTAACACAACCTAAGAGGGGGTGAATTGGGTTTTAAAGAATTCTTTTTTAAAATCTAAAATTGCCTTGATCTTTCCAAGTTAAAAACAAAAATTGATGAATCTTTTTCTGTGAATCTAATTGAAATAGAATGTAATGTGTTGCAATTGTTTTTAAAACATGAAGATAAAAAAAGAAAAGATAAGAACACAGATTTATACTGGTTTGATTCTGCAAAATCTACCTCCAGTTATCCAAGTAACCATAGCTTAACTTTTCACTATAAACTTTCAAAGATTCATATTACAAGCATTCACCTATGAAATCTAAACCTAAGAACAAGATGCAGATCTTGAAAAACAAACCTTTTAACAAGATCTAACCAAACAAAAATTGAAAATGCTGTCTTCATAATTTTCAAGTAATCTTGATGATGCTCTCCTCACAATCATCAATACCTAAACAAGCCTTACGAAAGGAACAAAATCACCTGGATATTATTTGTACAAATTTATCAATTCCTATATAGCCAAGATGACTTAATCTTTGAATATGATTCTCACAAAAATGATTCACCACCTTGAGAGCGGTTTCAATGCCCACATCAACTCTCTTTTTCTAAATTTAATTGTATTTCAAAAATATGTTTAATTGACAAAAGTTTTCTTCAATTTAAAGATCTAAAACAGTTTTATCTGATTTAGATAATTGCTTAGAGAAAAAATTAATCGATTATTTTGGTGCAATATAAAAACTAGCTATATAATTGATTAAGTATCAATATACTTAACGTTAAGAAATAGGAGAATATAGTTTGGAGGGCTTAATCACCCCTTTTAATCATCTTCTATTTATGTTGAAAAGTCTAATAGAAAAGAGCATAAAAGATCTAAGGTCGCACTAGATATCTAGGTACAAAACTAGGTACAACAGTAGGACAACTGGTAGATGTTTCCAACACATTACACGTAGATTTAATAATTATTCTAACACTCTTCCTCAAGCTGGAGCATACAAATTGTATGTACCAAACTTGGAACAAATGAACTCAATCCGAGGTCCTCTTAAGGACTTGGTCAATATATCTGCAAGTTGGTCATTTGATCCAACAAACTCAATACAAATTTCTTTGGACAATAATTTTTCTTGAACAAAATGACAGTCAATTTTTATGTGTTTGGTCCTTTCATGAAATACTAGATTTGACACGATTTGGAGAGCAGCTTGGTTATTGTTAAGGTTCCAACATAAAACCAATTGGCTATATGTGGAGTAGCCTAACATGTATTTAAACCATACCAAATGATATGAGGTAGGCGATGTGGGACTTTCAACACACCCCCTCCAACGAAGCCTGCCGGACCAGGCAAAGGGTACTTTTGACCCAACTAAAGGGCAACTTTTGGCCCATTACAATAACCGGAAAGATGTTAGGCTTTGGCTCTGATACCATGTTAAGGTTCCAACATAAAACCAATTGGCTATATGTGGAGTAGCCTAACATGTATTTAAACTATACCAAATGATATGAGGTAGGCGATGTGGGACTTTCAACAGTTATCACAATATATTTTCATGGTCTAGACTTCACAAAAATTAAGCTTTCGAAGGAATTGTTTTATCCATATAAATTCACAAGTAAGAGATGCCATTGTCCTGTATTCAACTTCAGCAATTGATCTGGCTACTACATTTTGCTTCTTAGTTTTCCATGAGATAATATTTCGTCCAAGGAAAACACAATATTTCGTAGTAGAGTGTCTATCAGTTGGGGAGTCTGCCCAATCAGCATCACAGTATCGGGAGACTTGGACATTTCCTTTATCTTCAAATAGCAAACCTTGCCCTGGATCTTTTTTGAGGTACCTTAAAATACGAATGATGACATTTCAATGGCCAATACATGGGGCCTGCATGCATTGACTAACCACTCCAACTGCAAAAGATAGATCAGGTCTCGTAATAGTAAGATAAATTAGCTTTCTAACTAGTCGCCTATATCTTTCTGGATCAGGGAATGATTCACCTTCTTTCATCATTAGTTTTTTATTTTGGTCCATAAGACTATTTATTGGCCTACAATCAAGCATACCTGTCTCTTGTAGGATGTCAAGAGCGTATTTCCTCTGAGAGATAACAACCCCATCTTTTGAATGAGTTACCTCAATGCCCAAAAAATATATAAGACTCCCAAGATCCTTGGTTTGAAAATGTTTGCACAAGTAATCCTTCAATTGAGATATTCCGACCACATCATTTCTTGTAATGACTATATCGTCAACATAGACTATCAAGTAAATACATTTCTTAAGATGGGTATTATAATAAAAAACTGAATGATTTGCTTCACCCCAAATTTTTTTTGGTGTGACCCATCCTTTTACATTATGTACACTGAAGACGCCCTCAACCACCACATCCTCCCCTAGTGCCACGTCCTCCTTTTCTTTGTGTGACAACCATGACAGATGGTTCTACCAGTTCATGAACTTCCTTGCTTTGAGGCGTTGGGACTCGAAGGAGGCGTGTGGTCAAGCTATCCATGGAAGGGACCTCATGATGGGTAAGAAGTTGATCTTGGAGATGATCAAAGTCTAGGTGTAAAGCACGAAGATTGTACTTCCAAGAGCATCTTTAGCTCTTAAACTGCAAATTGTACTTCAGTCATGAAAGATACTATATCATGGTCAGTTTGTTTGAGAGATGCAAGTCTGTTGGCAGAATCATAAAGACGTTAAATATCATTTGCATAAATGTCTTATGCTTTCTTCCAAAAAAGATGACAAGTTTTAAAGGCTCTAAGGGAAATCAAAAGCCTCAGTTCCACAGTTTGCCATAGCAGGGCACACAACTGAAAATCAACTTGCTTCCACTGCTCAGCCTTTTCAGGAGGCACATGACTTCCATCTTTCTTAAGGTGGTCATGATGACCTTGGCCAAAGAACCATATTTCGACAAATGCAGCCCACAAAAGGTAATTTTTTCCATTTAGTTTCTCGGAAGTAATGGAAGGACTTCCAGAGAATGAAACAACAACTCCGGTAGTCATTTTTGTTGATAGAAAGCCAAAAAACTAGGGCAGAGAGACTCCTAAGGTGACCATTGCTAGGATGACTTTTGGACTTTGCAAAAATGAAGTTTTGAGGGTTAGATCGGGAAGGGAAGGCTCCGGCGATACCCACAAAGGTGGCACGACAACATTCAGACAGGGAGAGGGTAATGCGTGGGTGACACATGCCTGATTACAACCGATTTTGATTAGGCGTGTGGGAGGGAACTGGCTTCCGAGACCGATAGGGTTGGCTGTTGCTCGGAGAGGCGATCTAGATCCGGTGGTCGTCGGAAGAAACTGTGACGGTGGACGACGAACGGTGGTCTGGGTTTGGTACCTACTTCAAGGGAAAGGGACTGCTTTGATTTGGCTAAACTTGTAATATTATCTTTTTTATGTGAATACTTTTGTTTCTTTCCTTCCATCAATTGATCATAAGTGTAAAATCGGAAAGAAATACGAAGTTTTCCATTGAGTTGGCAATGTAAAACAATTATTACTTTTGTATATTTTGTTATGTCTGTCATGTAAGGTTACATAAATGCAGCTTCTACTAACTTCTAGCTTGTGTAAAACGACAATGCTATTGTATAGTTTTCATTTTTTGGCTAGTGTGCAATGTCATGTCTTTTGTCTTCCTTATTTTGTTGCAGCTGAAGGTCAGTCTTCCTTAGTAGTCGAGAAACAATTACCTCCCAATGACCTTAAAAAGAAGGAGAAACTGGATATGCTAGAGGAAGAATTACCAAAGGAGAATGAAGAGCGATATAGCAATGGCATTGGAGCCAACTATAAATCTGACAGAAGTGAAGGGAGGCAGCCTGATGTGATGGATGATCAACCAGGCAAATCTAGGTCTACATTACATTCTTGTCACACATCTGTTATTTCTAATGCTTACCATTTTTCAAGATCTGGTATTTTATTAAAAGTTGATGAACAGGAGTCAAAGCATGAGCATTAGTCCCCGGAGTGCGAGCAAAAGCCCAAGTAGTCCAAAAAGGAGCGCAAGCAAAAGTCCAGGTTGCAGTGGTAGCCCTCGGGCTCCATTACGCAGGAGTTTGAGCCGAAGTCCTGTTAGAAGCACAAGCAAAAGTCCAAACAGAAGAAGCATCAGCAGAAGCATAGTGAGAGGTAGGAAGGGAATAAGTTTCAGTAGAAGCCCTGTGAGATCTCGAGGGGATAGAAGTGTTAGTGCAAGCCCTGTAAGATCCCTTTGCCAGAGCCAGCAGAGGACTTCACCCAGAGCAGCATCACGAAGATCAATCAGCAGAAGTCCTGTGAGATCTCGTGGTCATAAAAGTGCCGGCCCAAGCCCAGGAAGATCCCTTTCTCGGGGTCGTGTGAGGACTTCACCCAGAATGCCGTCACGAACATCAATCAGCAGAAGCCCTGTGAGATCCCCTGGTAGTAGAAGTGTCAGTAGAAGCCCTGTGAGATCCCCTGGTAGTAAAAGTGTCAGTGCAAGTCCTGTAAGATCCCGGAGCCACCGGAATTCACCCAGAGCGTTGTCACGAAGATCAATCAGCAGAAGCCCTGTGAGAACTCACAATCATAGAAGTGTCTATAGAAGCCCTGTGAGATCTCGTGATCATAGAAGTGTCAGTGCAAGCCCTATAAGATCTCTTTCTCGGAATCGCAGGAAGAGTTCACCAAGATCATCATCACGAAGATCAATCAGTACAAGCCCTGTGAGAACTTACAATCATAAAAGTTTAAGTAGAAGCCCTGTGAGATCTCATCGTCGTAAAAGTGTGAGTGCAAGCCCTGTCAGATCTTTTTCTCGGGGCTGCCAGAGGAGTTCACCTAGAGCACCATCACGAAGATCAATCAGCAGAAGCCCAAGAGTGTCAAGAAAGAGTATAAGCAGGAGTCCAATTAGATCATCTGCCAGAAGCTCTGGCAGAGTCCCTTTGAGAAGCATTAGCCGAAGTCCAGTTAGAGTGCCAAGCAGAGGCAATCGGCGCAGTTATTCTAGGAGTCCTCGGGGCAGGAGCTTATCTAAAAGTGTGTCACCTGATGTTTCCCCAAAACGTATCCGAAGGGGAAGAGGTTTCAGTGAACGATACTCTTATGCTAGAAGGTATAGGACTCCCTCTCGATCTCCTGTGAGGTCATACCGCCATAATGGAAGAAGTGACCGGGACAGGTAAATTGGTAAAGTTGTTTATAATTTCTAATTAATTATCGTACTATGGTGCTATTTGAGAGTTAATTAAATTCTTTTACACTTTGTCCTCTCAGATATTCAGGTTACAGAAGGTACTCCCCTAGGCGTAACAGGAGCCCACCTCCACGAAGAAGAACTCCACCAAGGTTTGTCTTTTGTTTTTAATTTATTTATACTAGGCATGATTTATTTATGATCTCGATTTGTGCATATGATTTATTTATGATCTCGATTTGTGCATATAACAGGTAAATGTTTTTCTTTCACTGTTTCATTGATTAAAAATGATAATTCCGTGTGTGCATATGATTATTTTGAAAACTATGTGTAGGTTCCGGAGTAGGAGGAGCAGGACGCCTTCTGTATCACGCAGCCCACGTTACCGAGCCCGACATTATAGTCGAAGCCGTAGTCCTGTACACAGCCGTTCACCTGTCAATGCATATAGACCTCGTGCTGAGAGGAGCAGGTCTTTGTCCCGGAGCAGGAGTCCTTCACGATCCAAGGCTTCAGTGGAATCAGAATCTCCACGGAATGCGAGCAGGAACAGCAGGCCAAGGTCCCCAAGGTCCCAGTCTGAAAGCCCAGATGGGAAGAAAGGGCTTGTTTCTTATGGAGATGGTTCCCCCGATTCAGGCTAAAGGTGGAATACACTTGTGAAATTGTCAGCTTCCATGTGCTTTGTTGCTTGCTTAAATTCGCCACCATCTCATATTTGTCATTTATAAACCAAGGTTTAGATATTTTTATCTTAAATTGAAATGGCTTAAAAGTATTAGAATATGCTAAAGACTGTGTGTTGTTTCAGTGTATCCGAGATGGCTCCCAAGTTATTTTGTAGTTGCATTTGTGTTGAATGAAGAAGTTTTGGCCTCCAATTTTTTTTATATATATTGGAAAATTTGGGGTATTAGGTTATCTATATCATTGTTTAATAGCGCATACTAATTAGTTTAGATTAGTGTGATTACTATTGTCTCTTAAAAGAGTCATCAAACACTTGAGATGTTTACCTTTTTCTTTTTCTCAACCTCCAAAATTAAAAGAGCCATCAACACTCGAGTCAAGTGAAACAAACTAAGTTTAATAAGTGTGATAAATTTAGATTTTTAGAACACGTAATTGAAAAACTCATCCACTACCACACATTATTATGGGTCTATTTTAAAGTTTTATTAACGGTGAGAGGATCTTTTATGTTTAATTAAAGCTATTTATTGTTGAACTTGTTTAGAAGCAGCGATTTTCTTAAAGATGATTTATATAAAAAGAAAAGTATCACTTTTATAATTTGAGAGATCGCTGTTATAAAAAATAGAAATAACACTTCTGTTAAAGTGTATAGTGGTGTAGTAGAATAAGACTATTATTGGAAATGTATTTAGTTGGTTAGACTTTTAATTAGTAATTTGTAACTGTAACCTTAAACACATCCAACAATCTATTATTAAAGAACTGGGGTGGTTAAGTTGAGTTTTAGAAGATATCAGTGGGTGCTATAAGTAATTTGTTTTAGAAAAATATCCAAAGTAGATCTATAATTATATACAAAGACAAATAAAATTATCATAATTTAAAGGAAAAAATTATTATAATATTTATATTTAAAAAATATTAAAAAAAATACTATTTTTTAAATAAATATAAAAAAATTAATTTTATGATAAAGAAAAAATAATTATTATAATTTATATATTTAAAAAATAATAAAATATAAAAAGTTAAAATAAATTAATTATTAAAAAATATAGACACGTATAAGCTTAGTAATTTTTATAGTAAATATTAAAAATATATATAATTTACGAAAGAAGTATTGTTATTAATTTTTTACAACCGCTTTTTAAATCTGAAAACCAAAATAACTTAAAATTAAAATCTGGTTTTGGTTTCTAAAAAATTGTTATTCAACTTAAAATAAAATAGCTCTAAATATAAACGAAAAACAAATTTTATTCGGACATCTTTCCTTATAATTTTGTATTTTAAAATTTCATATAAAAAACAAAAAAGCTTCAGTCAAACATTACCTAAGTTTTTTCATATAAAATAAAAATTATACTGAATATAATAAAAATATAAGAAACCGTAATTTAATAATAACAATAATAATAGTAATAATAATAATAGTAATAATAGTAATAATAATAATAATAGTAAAAACAAGTTTAATCATAATAAAGAAAAGTAAGATTCAAGTGTGAGCTTGTTATATCCAAACCTAGATTTCTCATTCTATTAATCTGTGTTAGATTAGTTGCAACACTATTCTCTCTGTCAGTAGTTTTTGCGTACGTGTCCCGCGTTTAACAATCACCGTACTTTGGGGACTCTAGCTATTAGGGCTTTAGGTTCCATCTCGAATTCATGTAACTACTGCGATTTCGCACGCTATTATTCAAATCTAATTGATTTTACAGCAAATGCTTGTTTTGCCCTCTCCTCGATCTGCGTTTTCTTGAACTCGTTGTGGTTTCTAGCTTAGTTTGGCATGAACAGGTTGTTGGTTAGGTGCTACCAAGTGCGAAGATCTTTGCTGAGAGTTTTATGAGATCTGTATGTTGTTCACTTTCTCTCCTTTTGGTTTAGTTGAGCTATTTTAATGTACTCATAGGTTTTAAAAAACAGCTGCTACTGGGATTTTGGCCCAATTGTCAAGATCTTTAGAGTCACCTGCCCCGCATGGTGACCGCAATTGGGATCACATTGGTTGCATTATTAGCAACTTTCCACAATCCATATGTTGCGACATAACAGTGTCCACCACTGTAATTTCTAATTGATGTGAATTGGGTAGAATTTGGGAAACTATATTGTGAAAGCTTGGAAGGGCGAAAGGGTAGTTCTGTTGTGTTACTAGGATTGGTGTTTGTTTGGTTAGTGATGAAAAATTGCTCAACATCAGTGGCTAATTAGTTTATGTAATGGTGTTTTGTTACTTCAGATCAGTTGTTAAAACGGATTAATAGTGGCGGGTGATGGCAAAGAAGAAGAATTCTTTGGTGTTTATGGATGTTTCTATAGATGGGGATCCTGTTGAAAGGATGGTTTTTGAGGTACTTTTTTGTCTTTAGGAATTTTACTTTCCAATGATGTATGCAGTATTGTTTGCAGCATTTGTTCTAATTCTTGGCTGAACTTCGTCTCAGCTATTCTATGATGTTGCTCCAAAGACTGCTGAAAATTTTCGTGCATTATGTACAGGTAATAAATTCCCCTTGCAGGAAAAATTCATTGAATGTTGATATTTGTTAATTGGACCCTTTCATTGTGAAATTCCACATAAAACCAATATTACTTATCTGCTGGCAACTGAACAAGTTCTTGGATATGAAATTCCATTTTGCTTTCATGAATTATGCTTGGAAAATTAGAATTTATATTCAATTATTAACTGATTACCTTGTCCTAATTTCTTTTTCTCTGAAATATGGCATTTTATGTTCAGGAGAAAGGGGAGTTGGTCCAAATACCGGAAAATCACTGCACTACAAGGGTTCTTTCTTCCATCGAATTATAAAAGGCTCCATTGCCCAGGTATGTTGTTCTTAGTTTTTCTTGGATTTAGATTTTACTTCGGTAGTTTTCTATGTCTTCACATTTTTGTGGATGAAAATGGCTTAGTAGTCGTCCATCTTTTAGCCAATTGCGGTTGTTTATTCTGTAGGATACAGGGCTGATGGTCACGACTGCCTTTCTTGTGATATAGTTTTAAGGTTGTACTTACTTAGTTATATGTTATTCACCCTCATAATTCTAATAAGCCTCGTGATGACCAAACACTATTTGTATGAATTTTTATCTTGTGATTGTATGTTAATGGTTGGTTTTCTTTTTGTAGGGTGGTGATTTTGTCTATCGAAATGGTACGAATTATGTTGATACATTGTCTCTTATTATAATTATTTCTCCAGTTCTTGAAGGTTGCATTTAATATGGTATACGTGGTCACTTTTCTTTATGTTTTAACATTTGATTATTTAGTTGTCCAAGTTGCAAGCTATGTTCCATTTTCATGTTTGCTGTGACATTGGTAATTCCTTTTCTAAGTTCATTAGGAAATTAACAAAGCTCCTATGCATGTATGTAGATGGCCTTGTCACTCAATGAGGGATGTGAGGTGTTAAATGGGCTAGCCTAGCCCGATGGACCATTAAAAAAAAGTTGTGCTGGATCAGCTTGCATTCTAAATGAGCGGTGTTTTTTAGGCTTGGTGCTATGTCGGGCCACTGGTCATTTTAGCCCATTTTAAAAAAAGTAAAAAAAATAAAAATAAATGATAAAAATTGAAAAATAAAATATTTAAATGTGTATTGTTAAAATTTAAGTTATATTAATGAAATTAGTTTTAATTTTAGATATAATGATTTGATATATAAATTAATATATATATATATATATATATATATATATATGTATGTATGTATATATATATGTGTGTGTGTGTGTGTATGTGTTTTAATAAATTAATTTTACTTTTGTTTTTTAATTATAAATAGTATTTTATAAAATAGCCTATAAGGCTTTGGGCTGGTCTAATCTAAACTAATTTAGTCACATGCTAAATGGTCTGGGCCGAAAATGGTTGGGTTCAATTTAAACTCTAGTATTTTTTGTTTGACCTAACCTATTTTGTGGACTTATTGGCCAGCCCATTGGAGGAGGTCCATTTTGAGAGCCCAAGTGGGGAGTATGAAAGGAATTTAATTTCGTATCTTGAAATAATAGCCATACTATCACATTATTTTATCTGTTGCATAACTTTTTCATTGTTCTCTTCCTATGCTGTGGTTGTTATTTTTGCTTGTCTTATAAAATGATCTTGAACCAATACAAGGCAAAAGGAGTCGTCAATAATCACATGTAGCCATCTCTTGTATTATGCGGTTGAATAGTTTATGTCTCTAAGTTTGTGTACTACATTATGCTAAACTCACATCACATTTCCTGTGTGATTTGCAGGGACTGGTGGAGAAAGCATATATGGTTCCAAGTTCCCAGGTGAGAAGGCTAAGTTGTGGTCTTGAGCTCATAATCTACAGAGTGGATTTGGAACTATTATGTTTATCTCTGAGTTTATGTATTGTACATGTTATTTATTTCAGATGAATCACCTTGGCTAAAGCATGATGCTTCAGGCCTTCTTTCCATGCCAGTTGCTGATCGTGATACCCTTGGTTCTAATTTTATCATCACTTTTAAAGCCGATCCCCATCTTGATAGGTTTGCTTATGGGGCTCTTTTCTAATGGCATTTCACTTAGTCCCATTAGGACATTTGGATGATTTTATTTATAGCTTATTTGAACTTATCTACTGCAATAGGCTATTGTGAAGTATTTTTGTACCCTTTTGGATTAAATGAACTTATTAAAACAGTTCTTGAATCCCATATAAGTTGTTTTTGGCTTATTTTTATAAACTAAAAATTCACCTAATGAACACAGGCCTTTGTGAAAGTTAAAATCAGTTTAAGTGGTAGCTATTGTCAAAATTAACCTAGTGGGACAAGGGTTTCTTGCATTCTCAAAATTCTATATTGAAATGTGATTTGGCTTAATTTAGAATGCACTTGAATTGGACCTTATGTTGCAGGGTTTTCTCAGTTAAAGTTCATGTTTATGTTGTAGAGGTTAATTGACTTATATTTAGTCATTGTTTCTGAGTGGAACTAAATGATCAACCTGCTTACTTTGTACAGTTCTGGGTTAATTTTGCAGGAAACATGTAGTCTTTGGCAGGCTTGTGCTAGGGCATGATATATTGAAAAAAATTGAAGATGTGGGTGATAAAGAAGGGCTTCCAAGCGTAACTGTTAAAATAATTAATTGTGGTGAACATAATGAGGGTGAGAATTCGCTGCCAATTATGGAGAAATCTAAGTTCTACCCTTTATAGGAAATATGTTGTATGAATAGTTAAATTCTGAATTATCTGTTGAAAGTTTCATGTTCCATTATTGAAATGCTTAAGTATAACAAAATATTTTGTTCATTTGACGTCAATGTTATATATCCCAGCTGATTAAGTCATTTAATTATATTTTATCTTTTAATTCGAATCTATACCTTTGTAGATGAAAAGAAGATACATAAATCCAAAAAGAGAAGAAATGGATCTTCTGTAACCAATAGTCATGAACTGCATAAGGGAAAGTACAGAAAATCTTCAGGTGACAAAAGGAAAAGGAGAAAGTACTACTTGTCAGACTCTGATAGCTCCTCAGATTCAGACACAAAATCTTCAGAAAGTGATAGTGATTCTGACTCAGACATATCTTCATCATCCTACACAAGTTCCTCCAGCGAAGACAGGAGGAGAAAGAGAAAGAGATCTAGAAAAGATAAACTTAGACGTGGAAAAAGAAGAGACAAACACCGAGAGAAGAGACTAAGGAAACTAGATAAAAGATCTAAGCGTAGATCAAGAAGGTATTGATTCCGATTAAATATTTGGTTATGATTTATAGATTCCAAATTCAACTTATAGATGTTTGCTTGTGAGGAACCTATAGAGTAGCCCTGCAGACCTTTTGGTTTATTTATTATAAGCATAATGTGTTTTAGTTTATGAATATAGCAGTTGTCTTACTATATGAAGCTGCATTCGATGCTCTTTACATGATCATTTAAATGCATTGAAGTGCTACTTCTACACGGTTTTAGAAAGTTGGCTGCCGTTGAGATTGTGTTTGGTGTTAGGGAGTCGCCCAGTCATACTGATTCAGATAGTGAAAGTAAGAGCAACAACTGCTCTGATGGTGGAAGTTGTGGTGCTGAAGCAATAGATCAGAAGCATGAAGACCATTCTCAGAGACATGGTATTTCTATAGTCATTCAGTTTTTAGTTTGTGTTCATAAAATAATGTTTATATATTAAATTATTTCCTTTTACCTTGTCTCGGACAAGCAAAATCCTTAGAATTTTGTATAGTAGTGAATTTTTGTTGTGGGTCTACTGTCTTGGTTGCATTGTATATTGAGTTATTGCCTGAAGATAAAGACGATCTGGGGTCCAGTACTTGGGGCGAGGAGGGGCCTGGTTAGATTTGCGTGACCTTGTACTATTGCCAACCTTGTTGATTTCGTATTTATGAATACTTTTGGTTTGTGCCGATCAGTAATTGTTAGCAAGGAAATAAATATAAAGTTTTCCATTGAATTGGCAATGCAAAATAATAACTTTCATACTTTTGTGTTGTCTGTCATGTAAGACAGTTAAATCAGCTTCTACAAACATTATTTGACTAGTATAAATTGACTGTTATAGTGTAGATCCTAATTTTTAATCATCTCAGTTTTCAGTTTTTGACTAGTATGCAATATCATGTCTTAATTCTTTTTCCTTATTTGGTTGCAGCGGAAGGTCAGTCTTCCTCAGTTGTAGAGAAAGAATTACCTCCAATGCACGCAAAAAAGTGGGAGAAACTGGATATGCTAGATGAGGAAGGATTCCCAACGGAAAATGGAGAAAGGTGTAGCAATGGCACTGGAGTCAACTATAGATCTGAAAGACGTGAAGGGAGGCAGCCTGATGTGATGGATGATCAACCAAGCAAATCTAGGTCCACTTTCCATTCTTGTCACACCTCACTTATTTCTTATACTTACCATTTCTTCAAGATCTTGTATTTTAATAAAAGTTGATGAGCAGGAGTCAAAGCATGAGTATTAGTCCCAGGTGCAAGAGCAAAAGCCCAAACATTAGTCCAAAGAAGAGGTTGAGCAGAAGTCCAAGTGGCAGTAGAAGTCCTCGTGCTCCATTACAGAGGAGTTTGACCCAAAGTCCTGTTAGAAGCATTAGCAGGAGTCCAAACAGAAGCATCAGCAGAAGCCCAGTGCGAGGTAGGAAGGGGAGAAGTATCACTAGAAGGCCTGTGAAATCTTGTGGACATCGAAATGTCGGTGCAAGCCCTAAAAGACCCCTTCCTCGGAGCTACCAAAGGACTTCACCTGGAACATCATTATGTAGATCAATAAGCAGAAGCCCAGCGAGATCTCGTGGTCATAGAAGTGTGAGCACGAGCCAAGGAAGATCTCCTTCTTGGAGCCAAAGGAGGAGTTCACACAGAGCTCCATCACGAAGATCAATCAGCACAAGCCCAGCAAGAAATCGTCAACATAGAAGTCTAAGTAGAAGCCCTGGAAGATCCCTTTCTCCTAAGCATCCGATTTCACCCAGAGGACGATCGCGAAGATCAATTAGCCGAAGCCCTGTGAGAACTCGCAATCATAGAAGTGTCAATAAAAGCCCTGTGAGATCTCGTGGTCATAGAAGTGACACTGCAAGCCCTCTTGCTCGAAGTGCCCGCAGGAGTAAGAGTCCTGGGAGAACTGACAATCGTAGAAGTGTTGGCAGAAGCCCTACTAGATCTCATGGTCACAGAAGTAGGAGTGCGAGCCCTGTAAGGTTGCTTTCATGGGACCGCCGAAGGAGTTCACCCAAAGCACCATCAAGAAGATCGATCAGTAGAAGCCCGGTAAGAGTGTCAAGAAAGAGTATAAGTAGGAGTCCAGTTAGATCATCTGCCAGAAGCTTGAGCAGAAGCTCTGGCAGAGTCCCTTTGAGAAGCATTAGCCGAAGTCCAGTTAGAGTGCCAAGCAGAGGCAATCGGCGCAGTTATTCTAGGAGTCCTCGGGGCAGGAGCTTATCTAAAAGTGTGTCACCTGATGTTTCCCCAAAACGTATCCGAAGGGGAAGAGGTTTCAGTGAACGATACTCTTATGCTAGAAGGTATAGGACTCCCTCTCGATCTCCTGTGAGGTCATACCGCCATAATGGAAGAAGTGACCGGGACAGGTAAATTGGTAAAGTTGTTTATAATTTCTAATTAATTATCGTACTATGGTGCTATTTGAGAGTTAATTAAATTCTTTTACACTTTGTCCTCTCAGATATTCAGGTTGTAGAAGGTACTCCCCTAAGCGGAGCAGGAGCCCACTGCCACCTAGAAGAACTCCGCCAAGGTTTTCCTTGTGTTTATTTATATATTCCAACTTCCTATAACATTTGACTTCCTTGAATTCCCTGGTTAATTTTGTAGAGGGTTGATTTATTTCTCATCTTGATTTGTGATTTATTTGGCAAAGCATTTTATTTTCTGAGGCCAAGTGTTATTTCTTTACTTTGTTTTATTCATAATATAGTGCATATTCGTAGAGTTCATATGATTATGTGAAAACCTGTTTGTAGGTTCCGGAGTAGGAGGAGCAGGACGCTATCTGTATCACGCAGTCCACGTTACCGGCTTCGACGAAGTCGAAGCCGGAGCCATATGGGCAGTCGTTCACCTGTTGGTACATATCGACGTCGTGTTCGGAGGAGCAGGTCTCTGTCCCGGAGCCAGAGTCCATCACTATCCAAGGCGTCAGCGGAATCAGAATCTCCACGAAAAGCGAGCAGGAACAGCAGGTCAAGGTCTCCAAGGTCCCCGTCGGAAAGCCCAGATGGAAAGAAAGGCCTTGTATCTTACGGAGATGCTTCTCCCGATTCAAACTAAAGGTGAAATGCTATGTCTGACGTGTCTAGTGAAATCGTCACCTTCCATTTGCTCTGTTTTCTTGCTGGAATTGGCAAACATGTCTTTTATTTCCTTTATGAAACCAATGTTTTGATATTTTCTTCAATTTAATTGAAATGGCTTGCTGAAAGATAATAGTAATAGAAAGAATATACTAGCCATGGTAAAGGGGTGGGTTTTCATTATGTCGCGGATTTTATTAATCGTTCTCATTTCGACTTTCTTTAGAAATAAAAAATAAATTCTTATTTCCGTACAAAGTTTTTTTCACTTTGGTTCTACTTAATTTTAAAAAAGTAAATCATATTTATAATAAATTAATTTTAATATTTTTTATGTATTTTTTATCAAATTAATTTTAATATTTACGTTTTTTTTAGAAAAAGATAAAGAAAAAAATTATTTTTTTTATCAAATTGTTTAAAGAAATTAAAAAAAATATTTATTAAAAAGATTAAGTAAATATAAAAAATAAAAAGTGAGAAAGAAAATAATATAATAAAATAAAATAATGAAATGATTGATTTAATATATTAAAAATAAAAGAAGGTAAAGTTAATAAAAGGAAAGAAAATAATTTAATAAATTAATTAATTTGATATTAAAAAACAAGATATTCAAAAGATAAATGAGTGAGTGAGAAAAATAATTTTATATATAATGAAAAAAAAGAAAAAAATTTAAATATAATATTACTCATTTAAAGATGGGGAATATCTAAATGAATTTTTCGGATGAAAATAGATTTAATCTCATAATTAGGAGTGTATGAGTTTAATTATTATTCTTATCTCAGTTTAAGTTTGGAACTAACAGTCCATTAGATTTAATTAAAAACTTTTGGCCTCAATATTGTGTTTAAGGAAGCATATTATTTTGTTTAGACTACTGATAAAATTTCAAATAATCAATGTTTTACCATGTGATTTTTCATTAAGACAAGTTTCCACTAAACAACATATGGTCCTACTGTTTTTGCACTTAGACTTCGTCATAATCACGAGTAATCATGTTTGAGGGTCAAGTTAGACTGGTAATGGTTATTGAATGGTAGGGAAACGTGCTCATAAATTGGGCACTATATTAATCTAGAGTTTAAACTAGATTAATGAATTGTATTGTAGGTTTGCATGGATGATTTTTTACACAATTATTTTTTAGATTTTTTTTTTTCATAATTATTTTGGTTTGTGCTTGAATTCAATATGAAATTGCAGAAAAGCATCTCAATCAATATTTCACAATTAGCATGAGATTAAAAATTACTGAGACCATTTGGCAGATTTCCTATTGCCCTTTGGCAGCAGCTAACTGTTTCATAAGGTTAAACACTTGTTCTACTTTTGAAGCCAACTGCTCTTTATACTGCTTATTTGCTACAATTGATTCATCGATTGCTACCTTGTATCTACGACGGAAAGCATCTAGCTTTGCTTGGGTTCCGCGGAGTCTCATTCTGAGCTTAGCCATTGTTACACCATCCTGTCATAAAATAAGATGTTTTTACTGTTGTTAACTATCATTACTCATATTTACGGGTGTAGCAATACTTGTTCATCCAAACACATGCGATCTAAATAACTAACGCAGATAAATAATTCATTGAGAAAGTTATCCGCTTGGCAATGTCACTAAATATGAGGAATAAATATCTACTTATTAATTATTCATTGTTGAATATTAGTTTTTCTGATTTGATGAAATAAATTAGGAAATAAAATTATTGCATCTTATTCCTGCCATGTGTGTATGTATGTATTATTTATAGACATGAGCAGAATCAATGATATCCATCAAAGAAATTCTGACATTGATATCCATCAATCTCAAGGGGTTGAAAAGTTCCACATCAATTGTCTTAATTTTTTAATTGCAGTTTCTATTTCTATCGGACAATTTGATACCTATTGATTTTAAGATAACCTACATAATGTATAATGATTCCAATTTTTCTTCACCAACACAAATATATAACATACTTCATTTCTTTGGCCGCTCTTACTTCATTTATGCATTCCCCTCGCCATCTTCATATGGTCGCTGTTGAACGCATCATTCATTACTTAAAAGGCACTTCTACTCATAGCCTATTCTTTCTTATTAGAAAGCCTATTAGTTTGGTTGGCTAGTGATTTAATATTGGACTGGTTACACTGATAAATGAAAATCTATTATTGGTTGGTGCATGTTTCTAGGTCCTGGCCTAATCTATTGGAAAAGTAAAAAGCAATCTTGTCTATCAAAGTCCTCCACAGAGTATCTGAGTTATGTCAATGGCTTCTTCTAAAATTATTTGGCTCTCTTGGCATAGCTAGATTCCCCTCAAGTTGCAACCACACCATTTTGTGCTGATAACACTAGTGCTATTCAGATTGTTGCTAGTCTAGTTTTCATGAGCGCACAAAACATAGATGTAGATTGCTATTCTATCCGATTAGCATTGACCAAGGTTGTGTACCTCGACCTTAACATCAGTTTCTTGTTAGCAAATGGATGATTCTGGGTTAACCGTATCAATTTCAAACCTTGATATACGCTGTATATATTAGGAATAGATATCTGCTTGTTGATTTTAGAATATTAGCTTTTCTATTTTGATTGAATAAATTAGGAAATGAAATTATTGCGTCTTAATTACTGAGAATGGGTATCTATTATTTACACGAATCAATGAAATCATCACAGAGAAAATATTCTGACAGGCAATTGGTATATGTGATCAATGCAAGCCACATTTGAACTGATAATCCAATAAGGTACTTACCGCATGCCTTTTGACTTCCATGCAGGAAAGTTTCTGACTTAGTTCTTCAACCTGGACCTTTGCCTTCGATAACTGAAAGAATATACATAATGTGACTACTGAAATTAAGATAACTGATAAAGAATATTCCTTAATGTAATTACTAAAAATGGGTAGTTTCTGTCCTTTTAGGCTTCTTTAAAAAAGTGAGACTGACGTAACACGTCTTTTGAAAAACTCTTAAACTGAGCTACAATTTTGGACTTAAGTTTATAAAAGATGGGTGAAGGAGCTTATATATATATATATAAAAAAAAAACTTCTCTTTCCTCACTTTCTCATCTCACCCTACTTTTTCCCCTATCCCATCTGTCTGCTCTCTCCCCCCATTTTCTTCCAGTTCTCCCGGATTATCTCTTTTAAGCTAAAAGAAATAAAAATTTTCCTATATTCTACTTTATTTACAAAACTTACTGAGGTCTAACTTAAAAATAGTTTTTAAGCTAAAATAGGTTTCACAATAATTATGATAAATATTTGTATTTAATATAATTAAAATATGTTATAATTTTAATATAATATCAATTGTTCCAGTAAAATTTTAATCGTCATAGTTAAAAAAATAGTTAGTTTTATACATTATGAACCATTAAATGATGAATTTCCTGATGTGTGTCGTGTAGAGAAGGTTCAATTTATGGAAGATCATGACTGATTATAGACGTGTAAGATAAGAGTCAATATATGGAGAAATTATTTCTGTATATGCGGCTGAATAATGCTTAAATACATAAGCATACACATAACTTAACTATCTATGTGACATAAAACTACCGATTTCTTTAAAAACGATGATTAAAAACTTAATCAAGTAATTAATAATATATAAAAATAAAATATATTTTAATTGTATTAAACACACGTATTTGACTTGGTTATTGTATGAAAAATATATTTTAGCATAGTTTTATTAAAGTAGATCAATAACAGCCTTAGTAACTATCAAAAGATGACCTTTTCCCTTTACCTCATCCTGGAAATTCTTTTGCAGAAATTCCATTTTTTTCTGTTGATCTTCCATCTGAATTGTCAATTTGTCTTTTTCTTTTGTCGCATCAGATAGTTTGGTCTCGAGATTCTGTCAAGTAACCTGGTATGATCAGTAATACTAATAATACAAGGTGTCTCAGACAGATTTTAATTCTCTAATCCCAACCCCTTAATTATAAATATAGCTATAAGGACAATTTCCTATGGACAAATCTTCTACTAGTGGCAATGAAAGAGAAACCTGATACTCGTTCGGGCTTGATAGATTATATCCTTTGTCATGAACGTGTAGTTCATTCCTCATTTCATTTTCTTTCTCTTCGTCAGGACGGCCATGCACCTCATTGTCCAAAGATTGCATCTCTGAATTAGCTTTTGACATCTAAAATGCATGCCAAAATTATGCCTTGCAGTATGTCACAACTCAAACCACGAAATTATTAACAAAAAAATATTCCTTTTTTTTTTCAAAGCACAATAAATAATCCTTACTTCTAGAGATTGTTTGCTATCAGCATCGGTATTTTCAAGGCAATTATCCAATTGATTCCACTTTGAAACCTTTCCCCTGTAGCCATAAAATAAAATCGCAGGAATAGTGATTTAAATTGTTTGACAGTCAGAGCTGGCGAGCCATCCTAGGAAAAAAAGCTGAGACTGGGAGTAGCAGACAAGGTGGCTGTATAGAGTACTCAAGCATTTCTAATCAGGAAGTAACCAATAGAAAACAACCTAGTCAAATATGAGAATGGCCAATGCAAGCTGAGATGTGTTGCTAATAAAATTTAGATACGAAAAGGCAAAAGGAATGGAAGTGCAGCTGCATTGACAGTTTCAATTCGTCATAAAAAATGCACGAAGTGTAAATGAATATCCAAAAACATATATTGTAGGATACACACCTTTTATATGTTTCTGTGCTATTCTACCATCAAGCATCCAGTAAAAGATACCGAAAATATGCTAAAATTAAAAAAAAAAAAAAAAAAAACTCCCTCCATAGATGATATACTTTCTTATTCATAAAATTAATGAGCTTATATTTAACAATATATAAATGGGATAAACTCTTGTATGGTCTAGCAATTACATAAATGAGGACCATATTAAAGGATTTGGACTACACCAACTTCATACAAGCAGAGTAATGTGATGGGCTCATGACTTGGTATATTTTAGAGAGTAAAGAGTATATTAGTGTGATATTATGTTAAGTCCTCCTTCAACATGTCTCTGATTTTATTGGATAATTTCCAGTTTTAAGTAAATTTGAAATGATTTGATTTGAATCTGTCGTATCCTATCTTCATTGTCAAATTTATTAGAAATAATTATTAATTTAATTTACCCTGATTACTGTAACAGTTGCCTGAAAGAAGTACAAAACAGATGCAGATAAATAACAGAAAAATAGCAGATTTAGAGAAAAATCTTCTTCTGATAGTATTATGTAGTACCAAGTGCTATCAAATATGGTCCTAAAAGACTGAAGTAAAAAAGAAAATGAAATGGCAGCAAAGGCGACCATAATAGAGGGAGGAAACACGTTTCACAAAATACATCACATCCCTTACAAATACTCTCTTCAGTCCAAGTTGTTCTCACATGTTGACTGTGTCTAACCGAATGGTGGTTCCCATTTGTCTTACTTGGAATGATGCTATTAGCGCCGGATACATTACAATTACCTATTTTATTTGATATATGGTGTGAATTTGTACGAACATCAGTATGAAGGAAAATGGGAAACAATACCTAAAAATCTATGCCTTTTATGGCACATATTATTTGGCAAAGATTCCTCTTTAATGAATTAATGATTACCTATATTGTTTTTTTAGAAAGTGCATTTTAAGCCTCACTCAACCTTTCATAATCGTCCTTGGCTGATACCAATTGATGTTAATAAAGCTAGTTCTAGGAATAATTGCACTCAAAGAACTGAAAGAAAAATAGGGAACCCAAAGAGAAGAAAGGTTCGAGAAATGTCTATTGAAAACTGATCAAGAATTACAAGAGATTAGGTATATGTAAAAAACTTAAAATTGTCGAATGGCAATTGGATTGCTATTTATATCTAATAACTTTTATTAACAAAATTAACTGCTCCCATAACTTAGTCCAGCTGTCCAATATGTCTGCTTATTTCTTATCAATATGTCTGGCAGTTAAGAATAAACTTTTAAGTAGTTCCTTATTAATTGTTTTCTGATTCTAAACATAATGTGGTTGTTATCCTTTTTACTTCTCTTTAATTTAACTTCCCATATACAAAATTTCCCAAAATCCAGTTTGGACATGAATTTACTAAATTATATAATGCAGTTATACAACTGTAAGTTAGGTAAGGTTTAAACTTTTCTTTGTATATATGCTAATGTGCAGTAGTATACTTTATGTAGGTAGGGAGTCCAACATTTTCAAAAAGGTAAGGTTAGTCTCCCACTAAGCTATCTATCTTACCAAATCCAATAAATCTAAATGATAAACTAAACATTCAAAATTGTTTTGCAACCTAGCAAGATACATATAATAAGAAAACATGTTTATTTACAAAATCATGAGGATTAAGCATTACTTTAGAAGGTATCTCAACCAGGTTGACACAGCAACACCACTAATCATGTGCTCACCACTCAAAATAAGAAAACATATTGGAAAAATAGGATAGTAGTACAAGAGAGACAAGAGATAAATAAATTTAATTAACACTAAACAAACCTGAAATTTTCCTTGATATGTGAATTTTCATATGTAATAGTCAATCTTTCCTGTACGGTTCTGCATTCTTCTCTACAAGATTCCAATTCATTCCCTACCTAACATAATAGACAAATTTTATTAATTTCAACAGGCGAAACCATGAATGTAAGAAATAAAATCATCTATCAAACTTCAAAACACCACTGACAAAAATCATACAAAACTTTATCAACTATTTACTTCGTTACTATACTACCCTTTTCATCTACACATAACTGCATATATCATAGTGTAGGAAATCCCAATGAATGAAAAAAATTTATTTGCTAAAGGGTTTTATCATAAAAAGAAAATTGTGACAATGGAATGATAGACAATGATAGTGGATGTATTGGCTAGGGGGTGTTATAGATCCCTTTTGACAAAACCTCTGTTGCAACAAGATGTTAAAAATGTTTTTTTTTTTGCATATAAACTTGGAGGAATTATATACAAATATCCCACCTGGATATTACTCCACCAGTGATAGGAATAAGGCATGAATAATATGGTGTCCAAAATCATAAAACACAAAGGCAAAGTCATACCATTTCTAGTCTATGTAAATAATATGATTATTTCAAATGATAATGAATTGTTGATGCTAAAAGTCTAAGGGAGAAATTAGCAACTCAATTTGAAATATAGGACCTAGGAAAACAAATGTACTTCCTAAGTATTGAGGTCACCTTGTCCAAACAATGAACCCCCTAAAAAAAAATTGCCCATGATCTTCTTAAAGAGAAAATTGGGTTGCAAAATCACTAAAGCACCCATAGATTAAAATCACAAAAATTGGAAGTGAGGAGAGCCCAATAATGGAGTAAACCCAGAATTATGGATTAGTGGTGAAAGAATAAACTAGCTACTTATAGAGTCAACTGTCCATCTCTGTTTTCTGTTATATGTCACTTTCTATCTATTATAGCTGAATGGATAGGGACATTGGGAACCTAGATAGGTGGTGCATCGGGTAACTGAGAATGACCAACTAGCAATCTAGTAATTCAATTTTACATTTCAATAATAGTCATCTACAGTTTCGTTCTCTCTCTCTTAGAAGTCAAACTGTCCCTACTACAGAATTGTTGTAGTTTAATGTGTTTGCTTCCATTGCTATTTTATATTTTAATTCAGTGACCAATTTGTATACCAATTTTCTATAGTGTTGGCAACACCATATATAATCTTGTGAATATGATTTTGATGCTTGTTCGATCTTTTTTGAGTCTACTTTTGTTTTGACTTTATGTCTTTTTGTTCTTAAATTTTCTTTAAGTTTTGTTGTTGCTTGGACATCTTGTTAAGAAACCTTTCGATTTTGTAATAATATTCTCGTAATAATCACAAATATAGCAATAAGGATTTCAATAATGACTTTGTAAATTATAAATCTTATATAAACTAGAGATATGACAAACTCCAGTTGTAACGAGATTTATTGGTCCATCACTCCACTTGTATTCAGTCCTTTGTCGAACTATCCCTTAATATTCAATTCCATGCTCTTGAGATGTATATTCCTTGATGTGAGGGGGTGTGTTGGGGATTTCACATCATCTAGAGATATGACTAATTTGTAATATATAATTGAGGTGCAAACCTCACTTTACAAACCCATTTTGTAGGATTGAGTTAGACACCACTGTATTTCTAATATGATATCACAAGTTTGCTCTAGTGATGTTGGGACAATTGTACCATCCATTATCGAACTAACTTAAACTATATAATTGAAGTGCAAAAGGTTGAGGTAGGCATTTCTCAAGTTCTAACATAGTGTAGGCTGAAAGTTTCATGTTCAATTTCTGACTGTATAAAGTTGTATTTATTTAGACTATTGGCTTTAAGCCTAACTCAATCTCACAAATCCGGTTGGTAAGGTGAGATTTGTACCCACTTATATATACTATAATTTGACTATATTTCTAATTGATGTCGGATCTCTAACACACTTATTCACACTAAAGATTGAACATCTCGAATGTGGCCTAGATATTTATTCGAACGTGGTCTAATAATGATCCGGGTGCACAATAGGCCAAACAAATTTCGCTAGAATGAACTTTTATACCATCTTAAAAAGTGGATTTAAAACCAAATTAATCTTACAAAACTGATTTGTAAGATGAGATTTACACCCATTTTATACTATAATTTGATTATATCCATAGTCAATGTAGATCTCCAACAATAGTCAATCGTTACATGCTTCATCCTATCATGTTGAATGGAATGGTGAATTATGTTGATGGTAGATTTATTATCAGTTTACTACTTCATAGGAACTTCAAGTAGAATAAATAGGTCTTGTAATTACCGACTTATCCAAAAATGTCCATAGACACATTGAGCAATTGCTCTATATTTTGATTCTGCACTACTCCTTATAACAACAATATGCTTCTTATTTCTCCAAGTCACAACATTTCCCCACACTTTTGTGCAATACCCATAGTTCACTTTGCATTTTCTATAGAACCTGCTCAATCTACATCAACAAAGCATTCAATCATCTGATGGTCGTTCTTTTGGAACAATAGACCCTTCCCAAAAGTCCCCTTTAGGTACTGAAGAATCTGTTTTGCAACTTCAAGATGTCTCATGGTAGTTGAATGAATAAATTGACCAGTTTACGTTCTTAGATAGAATAAACGAGTTAACTTGGTAACAAACTCATTTATGATTAAACTCATTAAACTCTTGGTGAACTCGCTTAAACTCTTCTTGACTTTTACCAACAATTACAATATTTCATTAGACTAAAATTTTGAAGAAATTTATTCCTTTTTTAACTTTTTTCACATAAAAATAATCTTTTGTACTATTAAAGAATATTCAGTTCATATCTTCCAAGTCAAGTTAATATCATTCAATCTAGCTTTCTTTTTCCTCCTTCAATAACTAAAACCCTATAACTACCAAGTATTCATGACTTGAATGCAACTGAAAAAAGGGATGCATGTATCCATATAATGCTTGATAAGTTACAATCTAAATAAATACTGTAGCTATAAGGATTCCATGTATGAAAAGAAAAATATAAAAAAACAAAGGGAACTAATAAAGGTTTTCTAAATAGAAGATTGTGAACCTTACTTCTAATAATTTTGTTGATAATGATGTAATTTGCAAATTGTTTGACTTTGTTTGTTCTTCTATAGCTAGAAGTGCAGCTTTCTCTTTCGCAGACCATATTGCCCTTTCCTCCTCTATTTCTAAAAGTGAATCAGTGAGTTGCTGCAAGATAAAAAAGATACAGTGAAATGCTTTAACAATAGAAACCTCCTAAAACGGGAAGAATCACAATAAAGTACAATAGAAGAATAGTTGCACTACCATAGCCAACTCCTCCTTTTCTTCCATTAGTACTTTGATAGAGCTTTTCAAATTTTCTTGGTTGATATCAGATTCTTCCAATCTTTGTTTCTGTATGGACAAGAATAAGATACCAAATTTATGGTTAGAATGAGGAAGGATACCGGCAATTTAATATTGTCATTGTAACAGTAGTTAGTTACTTATGTTGGTTTGTAATCTGCAAGTTAGAGTGGTCAATTTCTGTTCCACATAAATTAGTATATGTGCATTGATCTCAACAATATTTTGTTCCTTCTTATTATATCTCTTCTTCATTATGAATAAGATTACAAGCAATCCTCGCTATAAATAAATTCAAACTCTCGCTTTCCTTTTGTATTATGTCTATAATCCACCTCCTTGTTTAACAGCATTTTGGGCTTCCAAGCATTGACAATGCACTGGCCAACTACCTTGTTCTTAGATTCAACATTTTATCAGAAGACTGGGCATATTAATGAAATCTAAACCACTTGGGCAGAGACATTGATAGTGTCAAAAACCAACTTTGCCAAAAGCTGAAGTTGTTAGGAGAAGGTGCTTACATTAATGGTTTTTTAATTTTTATTGCTTTGAGTATTATATTTCTAACGTGTCCCCCAATGTTTGCAACTGTACAGTTAGTATGCTCAAATTTCGTCAACATATGCCCATATAGTCTTGGAAGATCTCAGACAAGATTTGCTAACTAATTAAGTTAAAATAATCAAATAATTACCCTAATCAAGACAATTAAGACTGCCTTTAACATCTAACCAAGGCTGACCAGGTATAGGCTCACTAATATAGTATAAATAATTGAAGGACCCAAGGTATGAAATTTATTGATTATGCATTTATTGCATCACCTTTATCCTATCTAACTTGAGCATTGAAGTGTCTTTATAGGCATCCCACCACCCATCAAAGACCTCACAAAAGAAGATATCTAGGATTTGAAGGAAGAAAGTATGCAGATTCACAAAGGCAACGCCCCTGTCTTGTGGAGGTTACTTGGTCTTGAAAATTATGTTAATAAATTCACTCTGCACTATTTTTTACTTTCCATCATTTTTCTCTCAGCTATTTAATCTATTATCATCTAACAACTTTGTTAAAAGGAGAAACATAGGAAGAATTTTACAGAAAAACTTACAAGAGTAGAAATTTCCTCCGTCAAATTATATAGTTCAGAAGTTGATGTGTTCATTTTTTCAGTCAAGCCTTCCAGTTCTAACATCAAACCATCATTAATAGATATCACCTCTTCTTTCTCCTTCAACGTAGCTGTTATTTCTTCTTCCAAAGAAGCAATTCTTGTTTCTGATTCAAATGCCAAAAGTTCCAGCTTTTTGTGCTCTTCCTGATATGTATCAGTGTATACATTTATATAAAAATGATCAATTATTCTCGTGAAAACTATATACGTAAACACAAATAATAATTTACAAAAGTAATTCAAACATGTTCGTAACTTCATGCAATGGCAAGGCGAGAGGTCAGGAGTGGTATAATAACATCGTAGGGAACGATTAACAGACAAAATATGCATGTTGAAAATTGAATGCATAGTTGATTTCAGAAATGGTATAATAACATCAGATTGACAGAGCTACTTCTTATCTGCAATTCTTTAAGGGAACAGTCATTTAGAGTAACTGAACATAATCTATTCTGACCCAAAACATGAATTAGGAAAGGGTGCCTTAAAAGATTAAACACGTGTAAACATACTGTTGAATATAGGGAAAAACTGTATAGGATTAATTTCCCTTGTGTATTTACCACACATAGGGCAGTGTATTTATAATAAAGAAAGGTACTCCTTAAAAGAGTAACAGAATACAAATAGGGTAAATAAAAGATATTATTTGATATTGTGATTAACAATATCTAACAATATCTCAACAATATCAAATAATATCAACTAATATCTAATCATATCTAACACTCCCCCTCAAGCTGGAGCATACAAATCGTATGTGCCTAGCTTGGTACAAAGATAATCCATCCTAGGTCCCCGTAAAGACTTAGTGAAAATATCTCGCTAATTGATCACATGAGTTAACGAACTCAGCCTTGATGTCTCCGGACATAATCTTTTCTCGAATAAAATGGCGATCAATCTCAATGTGTTTAGTCCTCTCATGAAAGACAGGATTAGAGCTTATATGGAGAGCAGCTCGATTGTCACACACTAGTGTCATTTGAGTGACATCTCCAAATTGTAGCTCTTTAAGCAATTGCTTGAGCCAAATAAGTTCACAGGTAGCCGAGGCCATAGCTCTATACTCGCTTCTGCACCTGGATCTTGCCACAACACTTTGTTTCTTACTTTTCCATGAGATCAAGTTACCACCAATGGAAACACAATACCCGGATGTAGATCTTCTATCGGAGGGAGATCCCGCCCAATCGACATCCGAATAGCAGACAACTCTTGTATGATTATGGGAGTCATACACCAAACCTTTTCCAAGAGACTTTTTGATATACTTCAATATACGGATGACCGCATTCTAATGATCTTGACAAGGAGAATTGAGGAATTGACTCACCACACCGATCGCAAAGGAAATGTCGGGCGAGTAACCGTAAGATAATTTAATTTTCCAACTAATCTTCTATACTTGTTCGAGGATCCGACATTGGCTCCCCCGATTTGGCAAGAGTTTGGTATTAGGATCCATGGGTGTGTCAACAGGCTTTGAATTCATCAACCCAGTTTCCTCCAAAATATCCAATGCATACTTTCTTTGAGATATAACAATGCCATCGGTAGATTGTGCTACCTCAATACCCAAGAAATATCTCGAGTTTGCCAAGATCTTTGGTTTGAAAATGGTGGCAAAGGTGTTGTTTCATCTCGAGAGATGCCATGATGGTCACTACCTGTAAGAACAATGTCATCGACATACACTATCAAATAGATACATCCAGACATTCGAGTGACTGTAAAAGACCGAGTGGTCTCGCCTCACTTCTAGTCATGCCAAATTGTTGAACAACGTCGCTAAATTTGCCAAACCAGGCCCTAGGAGACTGTTTTAGGCCATATAAAGATTTGCGAAGACGACATACCAATCCAGAAGACTCCCCCGAGCAACAAATCCGAGAGGTTGCTCCATATAAATCTCTTCTTGCAAATCGCCATTCAAGAAAGCATTTTTGACATCCAGTTGATAAAGAGGCCATTGTTGAATAGCGACCATGGCAATGAATAAACGAACGAAGCCATCTTTGCCACTGGAGAGAAAGTATCACCATAATCCAACCCAAAAATTTGGGTATAGCCTTTGGCTACAAGGCGAGCTTTGAGGCGATCAATAGTACCATCAGGACCAACCTTGATAGCGAAGACCCACCTGCAACCAACAACAGATTTTCCAGATGGTAATGGGACAAGTGTCCAGGTTCCACTAGTCCGAAGAGCACCGAGTTCATCTAGCATGGCCTCGACGCCAACCAGGGTGGGCTAAGGCTTCGAGAGACAGATTTAGGAATAGACACGAAGAAATAGACGAGAGACAGGTATAAAATGGTGAAGAAATTCGATGATAACTAATAGCGAGTATAATGTGGAGAAGGATTACGAGTAGAACGCGTACCTTTACGAAGGGCAATAGGAAGGTCGGACTCGTGGACTGAACCGGAGGAGGCAGAGTATTTGGCACCGGGAGTGAGTCATGTGGCGTCTGTTGTGGGCGAGGTCTGCGACTATAAACCCGAAGGGGTGGTGGAGGAGGAGGGGCTAATGGTGGTTGGTCCTCAACATAAGGATCAATGAGAACAGGAATGGAAACTGTAGTAGATGGAGACTCAGCAGGTAGGGAAGGGTCCTTAAGTAAAAGGAAAACTCATTGAAGGTGACATCGGCAGACACAAAATAGCGATTAAGAGAAGGAGAAAAACACTTGTATCCTTTTTGGGATCGAGTAAATCCTAGGAAAACACATTTGTGTGATCGAGGAGATAACTTATCATGACCAGGATCAAAATTGTGGACAAAACAGGTAGACCCAAAAACCTTCGGAGGTAAAGGATGGAGAGTGTCATGAGGAAATAAAATAGAATGGGGAATTTTGTTATCTAAAACCGAAGAGGGCATACGATTAATAAGATAACAGAAGTAAGAACAAGCATCACCCCAAAAATGTCGAGGAACCGCACCATGAATTAAAAGATTACGGGTTGTTTCAATAAGGTGTCTATTCTTGCGCTCGACCACCCCATTTTGTTGAGGGGTATAAGCACAGGAAGTTTGATGAAGAATGCCATGAGAAGCCATAAATTGTTTAAACGAGTTTGAAAGATATTCACGGTCATTATCACTTCGAAAAGTTTGAATAGAGACACCAAATTGATTTTTAATTTCATGATAAAAGTTTTGGAATATAGAAAACACCTCGTAACGATTTTTCATTAAAAATAACCAAGTACAACGAGAGAAATCATCAATAAAAGTAACAAAATATTGAAAACCTAAATTAGACTTAACACGACTGGGTCCCCAAATGTCGAGTGAACTAAGGCAAAGGGGGATGAAGCATGCTGGGAAACACTACGAGAAAAGGAAGTACGACTATGTTTGCCTAATTGACAGGACTCACACACCAAACTGGACAACTGGGATAAGCTCGGGAACAAGTTGCTGTAATTTGCGCAGACCGGGGTGACCAAGCCGAGCATGAAGGAGAGAAGGAGACTCCATAACCGTGCCAACATGTGGAGAAGGTTGAAGATAATAAAGTCCATGTGACTCACATCCAGTGCCAATCACTCTTTGCGAGCTCCGGTCCCGTAAGGAAACGAAGTTTTGGTAAAAGAGATAACACAATCAAGAGATCGAGTTAGACGGCTAATGGATAATAAGTTAAAGGGGGACCCGGTACATACAAAACATTATCAATGGACAACGAGGGAAAAAGAGTAACCGTTCCAACACCATGAGCTAAAGTTGTAGATCCATTAGCCATTGTAACAGAGGGTAAATTATGAGAAGAAGTGAAAGAGGAAAATAAGGATTTGTTACCGGTGATGTGATCGGTGGCGCCTGAGTCAAGAACCCAAGAGCCAATAGAAGAAGAGTGAGTCGGACCGACGAAAAGATGTACCTGTGTGGGCAATGAAGTAGTGGAACCGAAGGGCTTTCGATCCTCATACCATTGAAGAAAATCATTGAAGATAGCAGATTTTTCGAAGGTACAGACGAAGGAGGATCCACAGCAGAGGATTGTGCGGAAGAATCGGCCCGAGCAACTGCAGCAGATCGGCGAGGATAACCATGTAAAGCATAACATTTGTCAATTTTGTGGCCTAGTTTGCCACAATGGTCACACTTGACACGCCCTTTGCCTGGCTTGTGAGAGCGATTACGATCATCACGGTGAGAGGCCAAGGCGGATGAATCATTAGAAACTACAGGGGGAATATTGAGAGGTTTACATGGCACCCGCAAAAGGGAGGAACTGGTAGCGGTAAAACTGGGTGTAACAGGGGAACCCAAAATCTGGTCACGAACAGGGGCATATTTATCAGCAAGTCCGTGTAACATCAAAACCATGAAAAACTTTGATCGTTGCTCTAATTCTTGGGCAGGAGTCGAGGCAGGGGGTAATAACTCATTAAATTCATGGAGGAGAGCATGGATCTTACCCACATAATCCGCCACAGGATCCTTATCTCGAGGAGCAATAACATCAAGAAGATTGTAACAAACACCATAAAGACGTTGAGTGTCATTGGTGTATAATAATTTGGCTTGTTCCCAAACGTCATAACATGTGCTATACGATCGAAAAATTTGTTTTAAAGAAGATTGGATGGTATTCTTGAGAACCATACATATATGAGCATCAACTTTCTTCCAACGGATACGATCATTGGAAGGAACATCATCTACCTTGGTAGTAAGATGATCAACGTACCCCTGACTCTCAAGCCAAAGTCTAATATCAGGTGCCCAAGTTGCATAATTCGTACCATCTAATTTATCAATGGGTAAATTCACATTGATATAATTAGTAAAAACAGATTGCTCAGACCCAGCGGAGCTGACAGAGGTAACTTCAGAATTGGAAGTGGCAGCGGAAGATGCCATGGAGGAAGAGAGAGAAAAACCCTAAAACACCAAAGAGGTCCGATTGGAGCAGCGAGGACAGATCCAGAGAGAGGAGAAGGAGGCGACGCCGGCGCAAAGATCGGCGGCCTGAACGACGGCGAGACGCGCCGCCACGCACGGCGGAACGGGAGAAGGTGGCGCGGCTTCGGGAGGCGCGTGAGGGAGCGTGGCTGCTCCGATGACCGCGAAACTTCCACGGTGGAGGTCGCACGGAGGAGGCGAGCAAAACCCTGTGCTCGGCGGTCCGAACTGCTACTCCGGCGACGGCGGCGGCGGCGGCGGACGATGGTGGAGGCGGCGACAGCTGCAGGTTCAGTGGCAGAGCCGAAAAAAATCCCAAGAGACCTTAAGCTCTTGATACCATGTTGAATATAGGGAAAAACTGTATAGGATTAATTTCCCTTGTGTATTTACCACACATAGGGCAGTGTATTTATAATAAAGAAAGGTACTCCTTAAAAGAGTAACAGAATACAAATAGGGTAAATAAAAGATATTATTTGATATTGTGATTAACAATATCTAACAATATCTCAACAATATCAAATAATATCAACTAATATCTAATCATATCTAACACATACGAATAAGAGAAAGAACAATAATTAAACTAAATTCTAATAAAAGTCAATAAACTCTCACTATAAAACAAGGCAATGATAAAAAAAACTTATTTCTTGTTACAATTAGCTATTTATATTTTATAGGTGTTGAAGGGTTGCTCAAAGAATAACCACAGTTTCAACAAGCATGTATCTAGTCCAAAAGTCAACCTGTAATGCTAGATCCTTTGGTCTTTTAGGATCAAAAGCCTTTGAACCCCTTTCAACAATTGAATCACGTCTTCTTCCCGCAAGTGAATCACGTTTATTGATATCACGTTCAAGAAGTGAGATTTGACCTTGCAATCGTTTAATCTCTCGCTCGGCATAAGCTTTCTCACCCTAAAGTACACCTAATATGTTAGGGCATACATCACATGATTTTGACAAGAAAATAGCTTACATTGAAACCAAGAAATCATCAGATGTGGCAAAAACAACCTCAGTTTTTGTTTTCTCTTGTATGGCAATCTTAAGCTTAGACTCTGTTTCTTTCAACTTGGTTTTAACCTTCTCCAGATCCTTTCTAATAGTTTCTCTTTCCTTGGCCATTGTAGATGATGTTAAACAAGATAAATCCTTTTCAAGAGTTTGAATATAAGAAATCAACTTTGCATTTTCAAATTTCTGTTGTTCTAAGTTTTCCTGTAATAATAATAAACAGTTAGTGCCCCTATTTGCTTCATCACATATTCACAGAAATTAGCACGTACGAAAAACATTTCTCAAATAAAGGCCAACCATTAATGAATTTTTGGAATTCTGAGCATCTAGTTTTGATTCCTGAATATGCTTCTGAAGATCAGCTAAATGGTTGTCCAGAAGAACCTGCAGAACAAATATTAAACCAACTAGGACATCCCTAGAAATATTCCACAATAGAAAGGAATCTTTACCTTCTCACTCTCAAGCTCAAATATTTTCTTTCTTAGGCAAGAATTCAACTTGTGAGAATTATTCCACATTAAACTTTGTTCTGCAGAATCCTCAGATACTGAGGTTTTAAAAACCTGTATCAAACAGAAAAATAGTAACCCTGTGCACTAAAAGTATACACGTTTTTAGATATTATTATTAGTTAGGAAACAAAAGATAGCTGCTCAAGGTATTATATGATGTAAATGTTCTGCAATTTAATTTTTCTTACAAATATTGATCCTACAGTGCCTCAGTGGCTTAATCAACATACTTACAAGGAGTGTATCACAGAGAGCTGAGAAATTTTTAATAGCGTCATCCACCATCAACACAACACTTTGAACAGCATCTTTTGACTTTTGAATTTCAGACTCGATTTCTTCAATTTCCATGGAAACGGTGATCAGAAACTCAAATTTTTCATCCTACATGAAGCTTCAAGAATCAGCTTTATAGGATAAGATATAGTATGAATCATAGTCATATAAAATCATAAATTTATATTCAATAACAGACATTACAAGAAACCAAGAATTGAAATGCTTATACAAAGCATCAATTGCATACATTAATGCTGCTCACAGTTGCAGTGGAGGTAAGTTGTTCATTAGCCCGTTGAGCTGCCTGCTGTGCATTAATAAGCTCTTCATAGAGCTAAGCATATGAAACAAAATACAGGAATTATAAATCTTAATTAATTAGGAAATAGATGGGTACCCTGATCCTTGGAGTGACCTATCCTTGCTACCATATCTAAAGTTTACAAAAAAAAAAAAATTCTAGAACAAATATATATGAATACCCTGATCATTGCAGTGACCCATCCTTGCTACCATATTTTGTCAACAAAAAAGGGAAAAACAACATAAATATGTTAAAAGATAAACTTTAATACTACTTATACACAATAAGAGCTGTGAAAATGGGTTTAGTCCAATGGAATGACCCAACAGGCATGGAAAACGGAATAGGCCAATTATTTAACTAAAACATATATATGACTTGAATATTTTTTTACATTTTTAAAGCAAGCCAAAATAGTCTGTTTGCCTATTATAGGGTTCAATCTGTTTTGAAACATGAGCCAAACTGAGCTGTCTGTTTTCTTACTTAATCTAGAGGGTCAAGCCACCCGTTTGTTCAGCCTTGTACACAGGCTAGTAATATTTACTATTCTCTCCTTTTTCCTTTATTCCAGCTACAGAGTGGAGTGTAGCCAGATAATGAGAGGTTGTTGTGTTATTGAATTTATCCTTGATATCTTTGATTAATTTTAACATCATTAAGTTAAAAATAAGACAGTATAAGAAAAAAAATCTTTTCTCAGGACTTAGCTTAAGTTCAGGGGTAAACCAACTTGACTTGAGTTCAGAGGATAGATCAGACAATTTGCGAATTTGGAATTCCAGATGACCTCATCAAATCTCTTTCTCATATTACGTCCATTACAATTAAAGATTAATATAAAATACAACTTCCTCGCCAACAAACTCAACCAGAGTACGAATAGTGATAACTGATGAGTAAAAAAATCTCAATGAAAACAATGCTCCAAGTCATATTTGTGATTTTTATTCGAGAAACTTGTAAGGAATGAAAGTTATGCCTTGCAGAATGATAAGAACCGGGGAGAAACACACCACAAAAGTTAGGTTGTAGTGTCAAAGTGCTTATAAATCCCAGACTAGAATCTCACTAGCAATTTGAAAATGGATCCTATCATCCACTATGCTCCACAGCCCATTGACCAGTCCGAGGCAAACATGGCAATGATGGCATCACCACCCTGTTACTCGTTCGCAGCTAAGAGACATGGTGGAAGGCTCTGATCAGATACCAATTGATTAGAAAGCCCAAGCCATCATAGACCCCACATAGACTGCCATAATTTCAGTGAGACTCAAATCCCTTGTTGCTATTGGATCCTAATTTAGGATCAATGTGAGTGGACTCTTATGCTTTGTAGTGAATAGAGTATGACAGTTATGCTTTGTCGAGTTTATTTAGGGTTAGAGTGCAAGTGAATATTTATGGTATTGTATTTTAAGTTCTGAAATATAATATTCTTTGTAGGTGAGGAGAGTAGTTGAGACAGTAATATCATTGCTACAGTTTGTAGTTTTTGTATTTTGTCTCAATAAATATTTCAACTTCGTTCCTGGGTGTTCTATCAACTCTAGTAGTCAGCATCTCATAATCAGATTAGAAGGCATAGTGAAAGAAACATTGTTGACTTAAATGATGGTTACCTCTTTGTATTTCTCCCTAGCACATATATTCTGCTCTGTTGCCAAATCAACAACATTATCCAAGCTTTGTTGACTTGATAAGTTTTCCATTTCCAAAACCTTAATCTTCAAGATGCAAGTTAAAAATATAAGCTAGACACAGATAGAAACCACATAATATGTTTGTAAACACATTCTAATGCGGCATAAAGTAGAAAAATGGTTATAAAAATATTCTAATCATTTGAGTGTATAACTCCTTTCACCATACAATTAGTTATTTAGTTAGCTACAACCATCATCATATGCTGTATTCAGTTTGTTACTGCTCTCACTGTCAAGTTCTTTTAATTGATCCAGTTAGTGAGATAAGCTTTTGTAGTCTATATATACTAGTGAGATTTGGAGATCTCACATCGACTATAAATAAGGTCAAATTATAGTATATAAGTGTATGCAAACTTTATCTTACATACTGATTTTGATATCAAAGTCTATCCAAACAAGGTTTGTTGGGCTTATCATGCCACCAGTTATCAGACCACCCACAAATATCAGTTTCACGCTCAAGATGTCCATTCCTCGGCGTGGAGGGAGTATTAGAGATCTGGCATCAATTAGGGATATGACAAAATTATAGTATGTAAGTAAAATTCTCACCTTACAAGCTCAAGAGGTTGAGTTAGGTTTAAAATCCACTTTCTAATATGATATCAATGTTTATCCTAGTAAGTTTTGCTGAAATTCTAAGAATAATATATACAAATTTCTTTTCTCTTATGTTTGTTTTCAATAAATCATCTAAACTTTGGGAGTAAATCAATCCTCCCTCTATTTCTTTTTAAGTGTCGTTTCAGATTTTCAATTTTACCCTTCTTCATTTTTACATTACAGTAAATGCATGTGTAGACTAATTAAATATTAGTTGAAGAGTACGGGTATAATTGACAAATGAATAATTTATGTTGTCTTTGAAAATGACAGTTAAATAGAAACATATTTTCAAAAGGTCGATAGTTAAAAAGAAATAGTGTAGTAATAGATAAATGAAATGTGAAAAAGGAAAAGGAAACAAAACAAAACCTGCTCTTGAAGTCTCTTGATAACAAGAATAGCATCTGATTCTCTAAAATTCACATCTTTCTCAACATTCAAGCTACCACTATGGGCATAATTTAAAGATTCCTTAGAATGGAGCGGAGTTGCCTCAATTAGCTGTTTTCTTAATGAATCAAGCTGTATATCACTTATAGTTCTCTGCAATAAGAAACACATGCCATATATTGAGTCTAGTAGTTTCTGGTGCTGGAAATGAATCAAGAATTAAGGGGAAAAAAAAACCTGAGTTTCAAATTTTAGAAACAAACTCTCATATTCTGCCTGCAATTCTAGAAATTTGTCATCCTCCTGCTATATTTGCTTCACATTAGAATACAAACTACTAAAAGTTTAAGAAATGAAAATAGTACTGACATGATGTAACAAACCATTGACAAGCTTTTCTTCCGTGATGGTGCTTTTTTCCTGTTTGTTACATGCAATAAAGCACAAGGGTTTGGTAGATTATAATCCTTGTTAGCCTCATCTTTATTATTGTCTTCTTGATTAAAGGGCTCGTCCAAATAAACATCTTCATTTATAAGTTCCTCAAAAGGAAGAAGTGGTCCCATATCTCGTTTAAGTCGTATGGGTTTTACAGTAGAAGCACTAGGTTGGATGCTAGGGTATACCTTGGTTCATAAAACAAATGAATTAGGATTCAAATATACGATAAACAACAAGATAACTATCATATTCCAAAAATAATTGTCCCATAATATATTATGCATAGATAATAGATATAATATACAATTTAATTTCTAACATTTTATTTTTCTAGAAACCTATATAAAAAAATTATACACAGTTGATATTATCCGGTTTAAAGTATTGAGGAAGGAAGAAAGATAAAATAGAATGAAACACTAATTAATAATATCTTAGTCGTATTACAATGTGTTTGTGCCGTTTTCATTTGTTGATGTGCTCATAAATCCTAGAGCACTAACCTTTATTTATACTTCTTATAGTCCTAACTAAATAGCCAAACAAACAATGGTGTGAAAATATGGTAAGGTAACTAATTTTAAAAGATTATTAGAAATTCCACATCGAGTATAATTATAACCAAATTATTGTATATAATGATAACAAAGAGATTGAAGAAGTTAACTATTATTGTTTTCTATGTTGTGTAAGTTGAATGATACAAATGAGTATTTATAAGTTCAAAATGGACTTTTTGTTTTAACTTCTCAGATCCGTAATTCCGTATATTTTGCCTAACTGCTAAATCTAAACTAATAAAAATATCTACTTAAATAAAATAACTAAACTAACATTTAAACCTCATATTTAATTTTCTAACAAAAGTTTCCCATAAAATTATATGCTTCTCTTCAATTGATTGAAATGTGTCACAAATCGATCTAATCGACTTCATGCTACTTTCATTTTTCATCCCGGATCCGACTTGTTGTCAACCTTTACACCAATAAGTTGAACATAGCTTGAATATTCAATCATTGGCCACGTGTCATTGCATTCTATAAATCGAATATTCTTGTCCATAACAATTCTCCTCTTAATATTTTTCCTACACTTTCCAACCCCAATATACTTCCACTCTTCCGCATTGACTTCCGTATGCTTGTCTCTCAAAGCAATTTTCTTCTTAAAAAAATATAATGATAAATGAGTTCAGACTGGATGCTTTGGAATCTACTACTTGGAATGAGCTTGACAAAGTTCAACTTCGGATCGGAAAGAGTGGGAGATCCACAATCTATTCACTTAGTTTTTTCTTCCTCTACTTTGTTCATCATTAAATCTTGGTTTTTATCATGACCAACATCATGATTATCATCATAAATCAACTCAACTAGACCACAAAAATGCATGTGATCAAATAGGTGATCCCTCTTCAACAACGCGTCATTTACATTTAGTTTCAAATACTTCTCAACTGCAACTTGTACTTTTTATTCTTCCCCATCTCAACTTGGAGTTATCAGCCTCTTGAGCTTATCCTTTAGTTGTAGTACTTGGTCTTTCATGAATACCGAGTATCCTCTCTCCATCAATTGTCCTATACTCAAAAGGTTACTCTTGAGATCTGGAACATAGTACATATCTAAGATTAATCCAACTAGGTCATCTCTATACAAGTATCGAATTATACCTCGACCTTCTATCGAGACCTTTGAAGCATCTCTAAAAAACACATGATTATGCTCAACTTTCTCCAATTTATTGAATAGAGATTCATCCCCACACATATGATTGCTTGCACTCATGTCTAGATACCATACCGAGTCATCATTATTAAGAGTTGCTTATAAATGTTTGTCCTTTGGTTGATGTATAAATTGACTAACTAGACTCACAACAAAAACAATATATGGTCTAGCGTGAGATAGATAAATAAGTCTTCCCTCAAGTCTTTGGTACATTTCTTTCGTCACAGCAACATTATCCTCCGCACTTCCCAATTTTGCATTTGGATAAAGAGGTGTACTTGGTTTGTAGGTTATTCTACCTACTTCCTATAACAGGTCAGTAATGTATTTTTGCTGAGATATGAAGATCCCTTTCTTGGAATGGGCTACTTCAATTCCTAAAAATATTTTAAGCTTTCTAAAAGTCTTGATTTCAAACTCTTTAGCAAGACATTGGCTCTCAACCTTTGTTGCTCTTTTTCATCATTTCCAATAACAATTATATGATCCACATAAGATAAGGTGTGGTCCCCTTGGCTTTGTTTGTATTTAAGACTCATCATGACTTTGGTGAATCTTCCAAGCCATGCTCTAGGTGACTATTTCAACCCGTACTGTGCTTTTCTCAACTTGCAAACCCTATAGCGAAGACGTACATCTATGTATATTTCTTCTTCAAGATCCCTATATAGGAATGCATTTTTCATATCAAATTGCTGCAAGTTCTAATCATGGTTTGTTGCCAAAGACAAAATTACTCTGACTATGTTCACTTTTGAATTGGTGCAAAGGTGTTCAAGTAATCCACTCCAAAAGTTTGAATGTGATAAAGATTGAAGATCTTGAAGATTTGATGAAGTCAAAGAACTTATGGGATATGGGATATAGTGTTTAGTGAGTCTGCATCAATGTTAAATAGGTATAATCATCTAATCATTCCTACTGTATGAGGTTCTATCATTTCAAAGAAATAAAAATGCCTCTGATCCTTTTAATCTGTTAAAAATCCTTTTAATTAGTTAATATGTTCTTGAGCCTTGGAATTAACTGATAAAGTTACAGATTAATCGATTAAAATCAATTAAAAATACTTCTAACATATTTTTAACTAATATATTTTCAAAATAATCGATTAAAACCACTTAAAGCATGTATTGTCGTTATTTTAATCGATACATATTCAAATTAATCGATTATTTTCGATAAAGAAGTTTTGGAAAACCTTCGCCAGTATTTTAACTAATACATCTTCAAATTAATCGATTAAAAATACTTAAGAAAGTTTTAGAAAATATTCTATCGAGTATTTTAATCGATTAAACTTCTAATTAATCGATTAAAATCACTTAAAGAATTTATAGTTAATTGTTTTAATCGATTAAACCAAGTTTTTATCAGTTAAAAACACTTAAGAAGTTTTCGAAAATGTTCTGTTAGTTTATTAATCGATTAAACTGTTAGTTTATTAATCGATTAAACTTTGAATTAATCGATTAAAATCACTTACAGATTTTTGGGGTAACTATTTTAAACGATTAAATCACATTTTTATCAGTTAAAATAATTCTGAAAAATATGGTAGAACATTTTAATCGATTAATGATAATTTCATCAGTTAAAATTGTTAAAGTCAAACTATTTTAATCAATTAAAAGGCGAATTAACCGATTAATTAAACAAGTTTGTTAGAAAAATCTCTATATAAACAAATTTGCTTCAACATTTTAAAATACCTCTTTTAGAAATCATTCAAGCAATCAATAGAGATCTTTTCAAGAGAGAAGTGCGCCATTTTCAATGAGAATTTTTAAGTTCTTTCTTGAGGCATTTTTGTATTCTTGCTTGTAAAGAAACTCAATCTGCAGTGGAATTGTTGCATCTGCATAATCGGGTTTGATTGTTTTAGTTTCATCATTCCTTCATTACTGTTTTAATTCTTTTCTGTCTTGGTGTCTGGAAGTTTAGGAACTGGTTCTGCAACTAGAACTTGGTTGCAGGTTGGGTACAAAAACTGGAATTTGGTTCTTGGTGCAGGTTGAATGTTTTGTAATTCTGTTCTGTAATCAAAACAATTTCAATCTAGTGGAACTTAATTGGAATTTGGTTGAGAACTGGACGTAGCCCAATGGTTTTTCTTTAAATTCAATCTAGTAGAACTCAATTAGAATTTCAATCACTTTCTTTAAATTCTGGTTGAACCCTTTCAATTTTGATTGTTTTTCTTTGGTTTAATACTTGGTTAGATTTCTTAAACTTTGAAATTGTTAATCTGTATCTGTAAGTTGTAAAAAAGTTTGTAAAGATCAATTCACCCCCCTCTTGATCTCAGCCTATAATTCTAACAGAATGAACCCTTTAGCCACACGTCTGGCCTTATACCTCTCAATAATCCCACCCATCAACCCTGTATTTTACTGTGTAAACACACTGGCACCCAACAGGTTTTTTCCATGTGGTAAGGTGACTAGTTTTTAAATATTGTTCTTCTCTATTGCCTCCATTGCCAAATCCATAACTTGTTTCCATTTTTTGTCAATTAATGCCTCAGATACAAATGAAGGTATAGTTGTGATATTTAGGTTTGTGAGAAAGGTTTTATGGCTAGGTAAAATTTTCTTGAAGGATAGATAGTTTGCTAAAGGGTAAGGTGGTTAGGTGCAGGCTCTGGTTCCTTTTCTAATAGCAATTGTCAAATCTAAATTCTGGTCTACCTGTGTCACTGGTTCTATAGAAGGAAGTTCATCACAATTGGTAGAATCAAGATTTATAAGGTCAGACACATTTACCTCATGTAATGATATAGAGTTGAACTATTGAACATGAGCAGATCCTAGAATGACCTTTTCTCTTTGAGTGTACATCTGATTTTTCCACTAATTTTGGATCTAGTTTTCCCTTTGGTGTTTGTGAAGATGTACAAATGAGAGACACTCAAATATTCTAGGAGGAAGGTTAAGTGTATGAGTTATATGTTAATAGAATAAGAGAAAAACTTTCATTGGACTTTTTAATGACAAAATAGTTAAGTGTGACCTATTAATTAAATAAGTGGTACTGAGTATGACATCCTCCAATAATTTTTTGGAACATTATTTTGAAAAAAGGGTGCTCTAGTTTGTTCTAGCAAGTGCCCATTTTGTTGGGTTGTGTAAACACATGAGGATTAATAGATTATCCCCTTTTCTTGAAAAAAAAGAATTTAAGGTATTATTGAAATAATCTTTAGAATTATCATACCTAAGTTTCTTGATAGTAACCCCAAAATGGTTTTTTATCAGTGACACAAACTGCATAACAAAAGAGCTAACCTCAAATTTGTCTTTAGGGAGAAAAAGCCATGTTACCCTTGTACAATCATTAGTAAAGGTGAGAAACTATTTACCTTTGAGATATTAGCAACATTAGAGGACCCC